TTGAATTTATACTCAAACATTTATAAGATTTCCTCAAGAACTACAGATCATAACTATCTTGCAATGGCAAATACTCAATAGGGTACAGGGTAACTTCTAGTTGACTTTCCAGTCTTGACCAGCCAGGTTACGAGATCTGTACATAGCTACAAATGCTTCTATATGTATCGGTTAAAAATATATCTATATACATATATCTATATTATTTGGGTGTTTATTTTTGGCACTGCCACGAAATGAAATCGAGGAATGAGCGAAATTTAATTTCTATGTTTAATATCTTTCGGTCTTGAGGAGAGTTTTCTTTCCGATTTGGCTTGATTGTTTCATTGTTGTTTGTTTTGATTGTTGTGCGCGATTTAACGATGAGCATTATTGCTGTAACTTGTGTCGTAAAAACAATTAATTATAGCCAACGTTCAATATCCAATGTGGCAGGCACTTGAAAATGGAATGCTGTAAAAACTTTACGACCCCATTGCTTATTACATCGCTTGGGGGTGGGTTTTTAGTGGATGACGGGGAGGGGTGTTTCTTGGCCTATGTGTGTATGTGTGTGTGTGTGTGTGTCTGGGTGTGTTTGAATGTATTAAGTGCTGTACTGACAGGCAGCATTTTGTTGATGATTGGGAAAAGTACAAGCTGGGAAATATCACTCATACGCAATTTATGTGCCCAAGATATCTATAACAAGTTCTCGATGTAATGGGTTCTATATTCTTGGATTAATTGTGTTGAGAGAACTTATTAAGAGCTGCGCTTTGTGGTTTAAGCGAGATTACACATCAAGCAAGGCATAAAAGAATACATTCTTGTAATTCACAAGAGAATCTAGCAGAAGTTTAAAATTGCTTTTATATACACTGAAACCTTTAAAAAGAGTAACGAAGATTACAATTAAGTTTTGCCAGAGTATTTTATCGTTTAATTTTGTCCTTTACCCGAAATCGATACAAAAAATGTTAACGATGTCAATAAACTGCACAATTTTAACAATTTATCATTATACTGTGTGAACTCGAAGTTTCTTACAGTTTTTTCATCACTATATATATAATAAATGAATCGTTGCTCAAACAATTTCCATTAATCTGTTTTACTTATGCCTTTTCATTGTTCATAACTTTCCGAAACAGATTTTCATAATGTGTTCAAAATGTTTATTAAATCTTTTGCCTTATTTTCAAAGTTTTGCTGAAACTTTCTACCACCCCATTAAAACGTTTATATTTATTTTAAAATTAATCCACTTTGATGGGGCACTTTTAATACCCACCCACACACACAGAGAAAACAGCCTGCGATTTATGTTATAAATGACTTTTCACAAACTTTGCAATTTGGCCATTTTTTGGCTGCTGCGATTTCGATTTCGATTTCAACGATGCTGTGGAAATTTATCGTCCAGCAGCAATCAATAAGCGGTAGTAAAACTAATTGCGTCGTGTCTTGAACTAATTAAATTCACACACTGCCATACAAATCTTTCTCTCTCTCTCTCCCTCTCTCTCTATCATGCACTCTCTTTCTCACACACACACATATATATAGAGAGTGTGGAGAACCCTTTTTAGGGCATCGACTAACTGCTGACTCTTTGCAGTTTGATTTTCCGTTTTGGTTGTTCGCGTGACTACATAAAAATAAAAGCTATGAAGGCATTATTGTTTAAGTTTGTCGATTTTCAGATACCCTGCACAACTCATAAACTAGTAGAATTGTATAATTCAAACTTATAAAATATGGAAAAACTCTTGGCTTTAAAGTTATTGTTCCTAAAACATATATAACGAGTGAAACTTTACCCAACTTTTACACACACACACACACCCATTGAACATGAACACCCCACGTCGCACTGGAGCTAGAGGGTATTTCTTAGCCAAGAAATTAACTACTTACACAGAAGGAAACTTGAGGCTCGTTGCGGAAGGGCGTGTGTTGAGTAATTTTCAACTGCTTAGCAGCGGAAATGGCGAATTTCCGCAATGGTTTCCACTAAAAAAGGAAAAACAACAACATCACACACACACACATATACACACATTTGCTTGAGCACTCTTAACTTTTTGATTGACTTTTGTTGTTGAGTTGAAGCTGAAAGAAAAACTGCAAGCTGCTTAGCATTAAATGAAAGTAGAAACACAAATATATGGTTTTTTCCGAAGGCTTTTACTGAGCACACGTTTTTGTACATAAATTAATACTTGAATTAAAGTAAAACCAAATAAATACAAAGCACTTGCTTGTAGTTTAAAATATTCACTTTACATATAATAATAATGCACTGTAAAAATGAACATTTAAAATTCTTTACTTCATATCTATATATATACAAAATATACATATTATAATTAAAATCGTCTGTAAGTTAAGCAGATAGAATACTTAACGAAAAGTTGCTTTTATGTCTGCATAATTAAATTTTGGCTTTTGCTACCAATTAAAATATATAAAAGTCGAATGCGAAACAAAATGCTATGAAAATAAGCAGGCTGCTATAAATAGAATGAAAAGAGAATCACTTAAGTGAAAACTGCGCAGCAAAAGCATTTGAAACCAAATTGTGCTTAAGACCGGTGAAAAGCTGTTTTCTACCTGTTGCGACGTGAGAAGGGAAAACTTTTGGCAATGGCAACACTTCATTATCAGCCCAACAAGTTTGGGTCAAAAGCAAATAAATGAAATTGCCTGAACCTAAGGAAAATAAAGGAAAAGCAGGCAAAACAGGCAAAGCAAATGCAAATTAATTCTTATCTCAATAGCAAAGTAAATAAGAAAATGCAAGAAAAGCAAATAAAATACACACAGACAGACACACACACACACACACAGACAACAAGAGCTACACACATGAATGCCCTACAATTTGAATTCACTAATCAATCGTAGGCGACAACAATAAAACACAGCTCAATCAAGCGGAGCAGCCACCACCAGCAACCAACCAACCAACCAACCAACCAATCAACACCACAGTCAATAGCACCACTCAATCACACAGGACATTCATAAACCTCATTGCAACAACAACAACTGCAACAACAACTGCAACAACTACAACAAAAACAACTGCAACAATATGAATTTAATGTTTCGCAAGAATTTTCGCGAGGGCGCCAGCAAATCGGGTGGCGGCGGCGGCAAACTTCAATCGAAGGCGAGTCGCACAAAGCGTTCGAGGGACATGGGCCTGGTGCAGCAGCCGGAGGAGATACACTATCGCACCCATCTCTTCTTCTCGCCCAATCGGCCCGGCTATGATGTGGGCGAAGGTAACCAAAATTTTGTCGTGCCATGCGAACAAAAGCATCTTGCATATTCTCTCTCTCTCTCTCTCTCTTTCTATCTCTTTATCTGTATCTATCTCTCTCTGTCTCTTGCTCTTACACAACCATCTCTTTTAGTCTCTCTGTCTCTCTTTTGTGTTCTTTTTTGTTTGCTTTGTGGCCTAACCACAGCCTTCGTTATTTGCGCTCCATTAACCCATTAACAGCTCCTCTCGTCTCGTCTCGTCTCGTCTTGTCTGCTCTGCTCTGCTCTTCATTTTATTTACTTTTACATTTCATTTGCAATTCACATTTCGAATTTCTTCATCCATTTTACAAACAGCATCTCTCGTCATGGACCAAAGCAGCTGAGCTGGTTAGGCTCCAATAGGCGGCAATCAATGGGCACAGTACACACACATATATATATATATATAGATACATTTACACATTTATATACTCAATTAGGCAAAAGCATATGTGGCGTATACGTAATATGCATGTGTGCATATCACGCATACGCGGCGTTTGCCACAAACTGTTCACATTTCTACAGGCAATCGAGAGGATAATTGGAATTTGGACAATTTAGGGCCAGCATGTTTGAATTGAGATTTATGTTTACCTTTACATTAAATAGATTGGTGTAAGGGCACGTGTCAGTATTAAGGATTAATATTATATGTGTTGGTTAGTCTAGGTATTTAAAGTACAAGTTTGAAGAGTCTTTTGAATAAGATATTATTTTTAGCATAGCATAAAAGTGTTAGTTAATTTACTCATTCTTAGCATTGGTATTTTATTAGAATCCCACCTTTTTTCAAATCCTTAGATCCTAATTGTAAATATTGTAATTTTAAAGAATACACATCAAGAATTATTACCATACAATCGGTCGGGTTTTAAATTTACTGGTCTGCAAGGATACATAATCTTCGGCTTGCCAAAGATATTTCATATGTTACATTTATTATATCCCAATTTTCAAATTTCATTTTCCCATATATCATTTTCTAATAAAACATCTTGTTCATATTTGCCATTGCACATTTGCCAGGCTTTGTTAAGCATGCATGAAGGATTCATTTGCAATGATAATACCTCAATATATTCTTAAAAACAAAGCAGTTTGTAGTTTTGGCAAATCTCAATTGGAATGCTCACATGTCTTTCTTCAGCTAATCTACGTATTTCCAGTTGGCTTGGCTTTTAGGGCAAAAGACGATTTGATTCTATATTTCTTCTTTTTTTTTGTATTTGGCAATGGCAATTGGCAATGGCCTTGAACGTGCATATAACAATTGCATATATATATAAATATATATATATATATGTGTATGTATGTATAGCAAAAGGTCAAGCGAATGGAACTTATGTGTGTGTATTCATATATATAAGCCAGCTAACAGTTAATTGCAGTAATGCGATGCCTACTAAAAATACGATGATGAATATGTCTAGTCTTGTGTAAATAAATATGTATAAATGTGCCTAACTGCAACAACAGAAAAACAAAGTAAACTCAAAAAAATAAATAAATAAAATATAAAAAAAAAACAAACCAATCCAAAAACCAACCCAATCCCAAAAAGAATTCAATATCTAAATGATTATTTTTGTTTTGTTGTTCTTCTTCTACTACTTCTACTACTTGTGCTACGTTTTTGTTTTTGTGTTGTGTGTATACATATCGAAAAGAAAAGAAATATATATCGAGAGAATTAATTGCAGAACGATGTAGCGCACTATCGGGCATACCGAGTACCCCGACAACGACCACGTCCTTTACACAGCCCAGCAGCAACAGCCCCTACGAAGTGGATGTGCCGCAACCGTTAGTCGATCGATCCCTGTCGCTGATGCGTTGGAACAGCAGCATCAATCACGGCACCACTAACAGTCAGATCCGACTGCAACAGTTGCAACAACAGCCAACGCAGCAACAACATGCCGCCTATCAACAACAGCAACAACAACAACAGCAGCAACAGCAGCAGCAGCAGCAGACATTAAGTGCAACAAGTTGTCTGCTTACAGCTGCCGCTGCGGCAACGCGGCAAGGTTTGAGCCCAACTTGAACTTGTTGTTGTTGCCACTGCTCAAATAAAACTCAAAAAACTAATCAAAACCAAAAACAAAAAACAAAATACGCTCACAATCAGCATCTGTTGTGCCTTAGCCACACACACACACACACACGCACACACACAATAATACTTTCACACACTTTCTCCCTAACCTTTCCTTGATCTCTTTGTGTACTTCTCCAATTTGTTGTTGTTCTTTTCCTCATCTTGTTGTTGTTGGTGCAAGTTCTTTGTTGAAAACTAGACATGTTTTTTTCTTTCTATATACTTATAGACGCTTTGGCGCTTGATTGCTTCAAAATTTGACGAAAGCTTTGAGACAAGTGTTGTTAAGTTTTTAGTATTTCTAGCGAAAGCTTTGCTGATCAGCAAAGCATGCTTCTAACACAATGCTCACAACAAAAGCTTTCGAATAACCAAACAATCAACAAGTAGTTGCAAACTATTTTTCGAATAACTTTCAGCTCTATTTTTGGGGGGGATCTGCAGCAAAAGCTTTTGTGTGTTGCCACTAAAAAGCTCTCTAGCTAACTATAATCAAAGCTCTATTTATAATGGTACCTATCGTAATATTGTTGTCTATATAACTATCAATGATTTTTCGAAATCGTTTTCAATTACTAATATTGACAATGTTTTTGCGATTTTCAGGCAACTTTGGTGGTGGCAACGCGGGAAGCACTCGTGCAGAGCCCATCTCCTTGGCAACCCTGGATCGCGACTGTTTCATCATTCCGGTGCACAGTGTCGATCGATTTCTACCCGCAGGAATACCAGTAAATCACATTCATCAACTCTTGTATTCAACAGTTTAAAGCTAATTTATTTTATGAACACTTTCAGTTGCCTGCTTTGAGTGCGGATGGGAAGACTTCAAGTCCGCTCAGCGTTTTAGAGGTATCCGATCCCAAATTATGTATTCTAGTGCATCTGATGAGTCCCCTAGAGGCCATAGATCCCGTCATGGAATCACCACTCGCACATCCGCTGCTCAAGCAACGCGCCATTGCCTCGGAGCTATTAACGGAGGTGCAACAGGCCAACACAGCAGTCGGCGGCATGATTCTAGCCAACATGGAGAAGAACTGTAAGTGTCGCAAGAAATAATAATCAAGTTAATAATAATATTAAGAGAACTTTCCTTAACGATAAATGAATCTATTTACAATAGAAATAATTGTGTTTTGTCCTCTAGAATAAAGCTTCATTTAAATTTGGAAACACATTTTTAAATAAGCTAAGCTTACCACAGCCATAACTTTAGCTGCTTGATCATAGTTTGACCCATAGAACTATACCACATTCAAAGTTAGATTCTGGGTCGAAATTCATATTGAAATTATCATCTCTTTCTTGTTTTTGCTTACAATAATGATGTATTTATGTCTTTCTTTTATTTACTGCAGCTGAATTTCCATTTATATCGTATTATCTGATCAACACGATGCAAACGGATCCATCGAATTTCTATGCCAGCCTGCGGGTCTCATCGCTCTCCAAGTTTGAGCCCAAAACACTCAAGTAAGATAATATTTACACTTGTAATACATACTATCTGTTGTCTAATGTAACTCGATAAGATATAAAGTGGCATATTTGTGTTGCGCTTAGAACGAGGATGCTTTTATTCCGATTTCCTTTGAGTCATTTGAGATATTAGGTTTACTCTATGGATTTGTATATTATATCGTAAATAAATATATTTGCCGATTGTCTATACGCTGTTGCACACATATTTTGGTCATGTTATTCAATTAAGTTGTTTAAATCCCTCCCTGTCCCCGGAACAGATACACTGCCGCCCACACGTTGGATTTGTACAGCGAGGTGGCTTCCATTTGTCGGCCGCCGCTGGTGCTGCCCTCGAATGAGGCGGGCAGCTTTAAGAAATCACAGACACCCGCCACGGGCTACATTATCAGCGTGTTCAAGGTGAGCCAGATTGAGACTCAACTCGATGAAAAATTCAAAATGTAATTTGCAGGTCTTCGAGGGCGACGATGGCGAGCGCTTTGAAAAGAACTGGTTGTACTGGACAGGAGCGCGCATGCTGTACAGGTAAGTAAAGAATACTACAATAAATATATATATATATATATATAGTGTGTGTATATATATAAATAGATATTTACCACGAGCTGCTGGACTGCGTCGGATTGCGCTGCACAAGAGCACCTCGCAGAAGGGCGACAAAATGTATCTGTTGGTCTGCGAGTGTGCGGAACTATTGAAGGATATCTCGTTGGCTGCCTTTTTGATACCGGCACTGCGTGCTCGTCTCTGCGGCTACACAGGACTCTATCGACCAATACAGACTTTCTAAGGGCGAAAATATATTATAGAATTCTATATACATATATATTTTTCTATGCTGTAAATATTGATTGGGAAAGAATAATGTTGCTGCAACAAAAGGCAGAAGGCAAAACTGTTAAGTGATTCGATTTTTAACTAATTATTAACTGAAAACCAAGCAAAAGCAACTTTTTAATTCTAATAGGCACACATACACAGAGAGATAGGCAATATATCATTAGCAAGTAGACAATATACTCAAGGTAACTCATATCGTATATGTTAGCTTTTTCTATATATATCTATAGAGACGAAACACAAATAGGACCATATCTAGTGTGAACAAATGTTACAACAAAAAACTACAACTTCCATTTATATTCAGTGCATATATAGATTTTCAATTCAATTTTAGTATATATATATATGAATATATATATATATATATGTATGTTTATATATATTTAGCCAAGTTACGCTGAATTTTAATTACAAAGATCTTCGCGCTGAAATGTAGGCTATGGAAATTACAAGTCAATTCTTAATTCATTAGTGTTGATAGTTTGTATACCGAATAGATACATATATATCACATATATATATATACTGTATACTATACTATATATATATATAGAGAGAGAGGAGAGGAGAAGGAAATCACATTTTAATGGGTTTCAGAACTAATCAATGAAAAAGTGCTACACAAAAATGTGAAAACATTGCCCAAATCTAACAAAAATCTGCCAAGCAAAAAGATGAAATAAATATTAATATATATATATAAAGCAGCTCTATTAAGGCCACTTCTTAGCCAGTTCAATAAATTGAAAAGCAAGCCAAACAACTTTTAATAACTTTAAATCAAAATTTACATAACTCTATCATTTTATTCAATAGTTTAAACAAATTGCTTAGCTGCAGCCAAAACACAATATATAATTATAATTACAATAACAATAATAATAATAATAATAATAATAATAATACAAAACAATAAGTAGCTTAGTTTTTATGCATATAAGTTAGGAGCTGTAAATAATTGAGTTTAACACGTTTTCAACATTTTTGTTCGGCATAGTTAATATATATATATATGTATTTAATTTTGCACAATAATAAAAGAAATCAAAAAGTGCTGTGATAATTAACAAGAGATTTAAATGTAATATGTGAATTATTCGATGTGAAGCATTCGAATTGCAGCAGAATCGGAATTAATTTATCAAATATTAACGTAGCTTGTGTACTCAATTTTTTTCATTTGTTTAAATATTACATTATTTTTCTGTACCCTGAATAGATTGAGTGAAGTTATACAAAAGGCAGAAGGAAGCATTTTCGATTCAATATTTCTGTCTGTCCGTCTGTATGAACAAACCGATCTCAGAGACTATAAGAACTACAGACTTCAAATTTGGAATATCGATTTCCGATAGCAATAAAAGACATAATAATAAATATAGATGATTTGCCAAGAGATCAAATCGTATTTTCATAGTGAACAAACTAATATCAGGAAATCGACTAATTATGTATTTAGCTGTTAAATTCAGGGTACCAGTCGAGCTCTCTCGACTATAGAATTATTTGTTGTTTTACGCATGTTTTCTAGATAATATAATATTGCACCATCATTATTTCGACCATTAAACATCAACTAATTAAAGACATATTCTTAAATCAACCTTCTTTTCTCAATATAACCCTTTTTTTATATTTTTGTTAAATATTTATTTATTTTCTTCGTTTATTTTTATTTTTCTATGCATATTATTTGGTTTAAAATTAATTTAGGTATTACTTAGTATAAGTAAGTTATAATATTATAAAAGTCGCTGCTAAAATGCTAAAGCCTAAAATTAATATGATTAAAATATTGCAAAACAAAACTCTGCATACAAATGTTAGTTTTTAAAAATCTTTTCATAATTCAAGCTAAAAGCTTTGAGTAAACAGCAATCAATTAAAATCAATTCAAATCTTGCGGTTTTTTGGGGTTACTTCAAAACAAAATAAAGCGTACAAAAAGTATTTTGAAAATGCAGAAACCAATCACAAACTTTTAACTAACCAAAAATGTTGTCAAAAAAGAAGTTGCCACCACGCTGCTTGGCCTCAGCCACCCGTTTGCGGTGCAGAAAGTAAGCCTGCAGCTGCTGGGGCTGACGAGGACCCCAATCCGAGGTGGTTTGCATAGCCAATTTCAGTTTCTGCAGTAGAAGAAGAGTCATGTTGTATGTGCTCCATAAAGATTACAAATTCGAAGTTGCAATATGACTTACGGCTTTGAAGCTATCTCCCGGCTGCTGATAGATGCTGTAGAGTGCCCAGAAAGGCAGCTGTGCTACGCCCAGTCCCCAAATAAGCCAGCCAGCCATATTGGCCAACGGAGGATACTCCACTCCCTTGTACGTAAGGGGCTCATAGCTGACGAGCATGTAGACGAGGACGAGGAACATCAGACCCGGCGCCACAATTGCCCAACAGATGCGCCAATAGAAACTCGTCTTGATGCCGAGCATAAACTCAATATCGCTGCACAGACGTCGCACACCATAGATCCAGCAGACGGCCAGAAGCTCGGCTATCGCCAGCACCAGAGCAATGAAAGTGCAACCATAGAAATCCACCAGATTCAAAACGAATTGTCCACCCGGCGTCATATAGACCAGGCCACACACGAAACCAATCAGTGAGGCGCCAATGGCCAGCTGCCAATGGGGCAGATGGGGAAAGCGATCCTTGACCACATTGATCACACACGAGGCCATGCCAATGTTACTCCCGATACCCAGCACCAGCAGCATGAAGAAGAAGAGCACAGCAAATAATTGTGGCAAATATTTGAACTTGGCTATGGCCTCTGGATACGAGATGAAAGCCAATCCTGCCCCACCTTTGACCACTTGCGAAATATCCGTGGTGTTTGTCTCGTAAGCCAGATTGCCCAGAATGCCAAAGATGATGCAGCCAGCCAACATGGAGGTGAAGGAATCAATAGTGGTGATAATGATGACATCCCTGTGTGGGCAGAGTATGAAGGTTATTATTATATCTAAGAAAACTAGCTCTTCTAGCTACTCCCGCAATACTCACTTGTGGACACGCTTATTGAAGTCATTGAAGGAGGCATACATGATGAGGGTGCCAAAGCAGATGGCCAACGAGAAGAACATTTGTGTGATGGCCGAGTACCAGACATGCGGATTGAGCAACTGACTCCACTGGGGCTGCACAAAGTAGAGGATGCCCTGCCAGGCACCCGGCAATGTGACCGCCCTGATCAACAAGATCAGCATGATGACATAGGGAAACAGAGCCAGGAAATAGGATGCTTTGCCCGAGCTACGTATACCCTTGAACAAGGTGATGGCAATGATGATCCATGTGGCCATCAAACACAAGATCATCTCCCAGCTGGGCGTCCCAAGGCCCCCATCCAAATTTGGGGGTTCCCTGAGCACAGTGCGACTACAAACAACAATCAAGAGGTAGCTGGGAAGATTCGAATGTGTCAATCACAACTCACGTAAAGTATAACTCTGCAGAGGATACACCATGCATGGACGTGTTGCTGCTATTTGTGGCAGTTGCAGCTGTTGCCACACACGAACTGCCCCACTCGACCAGGCAGTATGTCCAGGGTAGCACCTCCGAAAAGGAGGCCACCAAATAACGTATGGTCAACGCCATGATGCAGGCATAGTAGGTGGTAGCCAGAGCTGTGGAATACACCTGACCATAGGCAACACCTGTCAAAGATGTCAAAGGTGGAGAGGGGGCAGGTGAGTCAAGCATGATACTCTCTAATTGAAAACTTAAGCTTTGAATCAGCTTTAGAAATTGGTTTTGTTTGAAAAACTTTCTAGTTTTCAGGTCGGTTTTCTAAAATTCAGGCCGACTTTTTTCATCAGTTTCAATTTTGGTGCACATACCTTTCATGATGGGTGCCAAGTCAAAGGCGCCTATGCAGCCCCGACTGCTGAACTGTCCGATTGTAACCTCCAGATAATAAATGGGTCTGCCCACCAGTACAAGCACCACCAGATATGGTATCAGAAAAGCGCCACCACCGTTTTCCAGTGCTATAAACGGAAAACGCCAGACATTGCCTAGGCCGACGCTCAAAGCAATGCAGGAGAACAGAAACTCAATGCCCTTGCCCCATGTATCCCGAGTGCGTAAGTGCTCCTCCTCTGGCTCCTCCTCCTCCTCCCCAGCATGCTGATCGCTGTTGCTATCCACACCAAACTATAATATTGGAATACATATTAATACACTTTACTACCAGTTTCTGCTAAGTTCTTTTGACCAACCAGCTCAGTTGTGTAAATCACGCAATCTTTATCACTGGTCAGTTTTGTTTTAAGATTGCCATCCATCAATCTGTTGAGCTTATCAAATTGTGTGGCATCCATATCGATGTACGAGCGGCGCACGAAGCAAGAACTAAAGTGCATCGGCTTTTGTAATGAATGGATTTTTAATAGAGGCCCTTAAGTGTATTACACTTATAGGGTTTACGATTCCAGCTGATATCGCAACAGATTTTGATAAGCCTGGAAAGAAAGTCAACATTGCTTAACAAATCTCAGAAGTAACTGTTTTTAATATGTATCTAGTAAATGAGACAATGAATATTTCGTTATATCACTGATAGGGCAAGAACTCTATGTGTTTAGGGTAATAAACTCTTAACACACTTTTCCGAATTTGTTTGACGAATTTCAAGACAATTGATTGAAAGAGTTAAACGATATATATATAAATAAGGTCCTCAATCTTTAGTCTTCCAAATACTATCAAAATATAAAAATAACTATTTTTAGCTGAAATCCAACATTGACTTAAGAATTAAGAAAAAGCTGACCATAAACTTTGGGGTCATAATGTCTGAGTATTTAAGACTGTGTTAAGTCTTAAATGGTATACAACTAGTTAGTATCAACATTATTCTTGATAACTTAATTGAGTTACCCATCAAAAAGTAACCCAATTTCAAGTTGTAGGTGCAAATTATTTTACTTGAATTTAAATCTCACTTACTTAACTTTATCAAGGGATTGTGTTAAGTAAATCTTTGATAAAATCTTTCTTTTTTTTGTCTCATTGTGCCCAAAATGTTTTATATTTGAGCAGACAGTTTTGTTTTCCACAGCACTAAGGCAATAAAAAATGTTGGTTTGGTATGTGATAATTCTTATCATTGCTTAAGAAAATGTAGACACGTTGAGCACATATTATATATATATATATATTTTGTTATAATAGTTAAATATATTTATTGTAGTTATAATAGAAACCGTTTAAAAGACTGGATTTTTAATATGTTAATCGTCCATTTTGTTCACCTTCACAAATGTTTATAAACTTTGCCTTGTTCAGATATTTAAACAATTTAAAAAGATTGTAAAGATCTTTTTTGAACTTAAGCTGGGGCTTTCTTTCAGATCACATACACTCTTAGTAGTCATATATTTTTTAAACCTTACAAATAGGAAGTACCAAAAAGTAGAATGAAAATCGGAGTGTTGCAACTGGTTTTGACGACTTGCCCGACGCGACTGATCCAAAACTCATCTGAGAACGTTTAACGAAATCTACACGAGCACAATTCAAGATAAATTAATCTTCGTGGTCGAATCTCTGGCTAGTTGGGGGCTGTCGAATGCTTTTTAAAGATTATGCCAAAGCTACGCCCATTTCTGTATCTGTATATCTAGTTAGATCTAGTTGATTTCAGTGTATTTGTGCAGCATTAGGCGACCCTGCGCTCAAAACGCAAATCAGTTCAATTAACGACTTTTCCATTCATGTGCCGACAATGCATAAACCGAATATTAACTTCTTACAGTTATGTATATGTATATATCTATTTATGTATATATATATATATATGTATAAAAAAAAAGAATGCATTTTAGTTTACATTGACAATAATTTTGATACACAATGAGCTAGTGGAACTAATGATTAAATGTACAACATATATAACTCTAATAGTAACTGTCGACAAGTCTTGCTATAAACATGTTATTATTCCAGTTGTAATTGCGCTTCTTCCCCCTTCAATTATTTGTGACGCTTCGAGCGAAGTCTCAAGGCCTCCTCAGCTGACACTGGCTCAAAGATATTCTTGCCACCATTGCCAGTCAGTATTTTGACATACGTGCTACTGCAAAATATCTATTTTAGATAAAGTAGGAATATGTGTGTAATATGTATTATGATTTTTTCTATATAGTATAGCTCGCATGGTTCGTTAGAATCGGTCTAAAGATAAGTTCTTGTATGAAAACCATATTTGTTTAACAAACTATTATAACCAAACTCTTCATAAAACTACTGTATCATATAGCTTTCATTGGAACATTTATAGTGAACTTTAGCGATGTCGACTCCAGTCTAGAAGATGGGCCGCTAAGCCTCTACTTACGCAGTGCGACGCAGTTGGTCAAGTTGTTCCTTGAGGATGACATTCTTTTCGCACAGTTTGGTGTTGAGCATCCGGTTGCGCTCATTGCTCTCCTCCAGCAGCTTGATTTCATGCTTCTGGCAGTGCAGCGTGGACAGATTGGTGGTAAGGGTGTTGCTCAAGTTCTGGCATTGTTCATTTTTGGCGGCCAACTCGTTGGTAATCTGCTGGCAACGGAACGCATACACATAGCCATACATCAGATCAGATATGGAGGTGTTGTTTGGTTTTACCTGGGTAATCACCGTGTTTTTATCGGTAAGGATACGTCGGTTCTCCAGTTCGCGCTCCTTCAACTCTCTGTCGAGGGAACTGATCCGCTCGGCCCTTGTGGTCAGCACCTGGAGTTCGTATTCCCGCTTCTGCTCGTTGCGACATAGCCTTAACTCTGCTTGGCTTAGTTGCTCCTGCTTTTTGCTCACTTCGCTGCGCAACTTTAGCTGCACTTCCTCCTGGGCCCTCAGCAGAGTCTCTTTGCTTGCCAGCTCCGCTTGCATGGCGCTGTGTGAGGTAGTATTTCAAGAAAAGTCAATTGGCCTATAATTGATAATCTGTTACATAATCTGAGTTTTCATTGTGTTATCCGCTTCCAGCAGCAGTGAATTCTCCAGATCTTGCAGTTGTTGCTCCTGCTTGGCCAGCAGAAGATCCCTCTCCGTTATCAGCTCATATCTCTCGGTCAACTGACGATCTTTCTCGGCTATCTTCGCGGCCAGCTCTTCACATTTCTTCTTCAAGAACGGGTGATACCTCAATTGTTCCTCCTGTCTGCTGTAGGCTTCTCGAGATTGTTCCAGCTCCTCGATGCTCGCCTTCATCAGCTGCTCCATGCCAGCCTTGCTGTTGGCACAAGATTATTTACACAAGTATACTTCCTTATGTTCTCTTTAGATTAATGTTAACTTACGTTTGCTCCAGCTGGTTCATGTTTGTCTGCTGATCAGCTATGATATCGATTTTGTCCTTTAGTAATATATTTGTTTGGGTCAGTTGAGAAACTAGATCGCCCCGCTTCTCCTCCGATGCCTCCAATTGTTTCTTGAGCTGCTTGTTTTCATTCTCCAACTGCAGATGGCTGTTGGGGCGATGCAGCTCACTATTCTTATTGCCAACATCTATTTTTTCGGGGGCACCACTACACATTCTCATAATCTCAGCGTCAACGGCCAGCAATTTGTCATTCTGTAAATTAAAGACTCATTGTACAATTGCAGATAGCTCTAGAACCTAGAGTCCAGACTTACCAGCTCCTCTTGCAACGTGACGCGCAGAGTCTCGCAAACAGCGGCTCCTGTTATATCATCCTTGAACAGCTCCAAGTTCATTATCTGTTCCGAAATAGACTTCAAGGTGGACTCAAAGAACTCATGACAGAGATGCTTGAAGTCATTTGCCGACTTGGCAGCTAATAATTTAATATATATATTTCTTTATTTAATATAATACAAATATAAAGTGTAAAAGCGTTCGAACGAACATTCCTTTAAAAAAGTTTCTTAAACATCTTAATTAAAAACTATGATCTTAAAACGGTATATCTCAGGTTAAAGATTTTTCGGTGAGGAAATCAATCCAACAATCTGATTGCTTAAATGAACTCTCGATAAACTGCTCAATTTCAGACCACTTTAGAAATATAGATTTGAAAACGGGAGAAGGGGAAAACTTACGTATGTTCTTGGGCAATTCAAGGAGGTCATCAGGATGCAACAGCAGCTTGCAATTGTCCGCATGCACAATGGTAACCAGCTTGTAGGTGCATTCCTGGCCCTGCTGACGACAGCTGGATGTTCTCTGTAGAAATTGCGACTGAACGTCCTCCAGCTGCTTTTGGAGCGCCTCCAGAGTCTGTGGAGTGGATATTTCCAGCAAATTTTTCTGTTGCGCTTCTGTTGCATTGGCAAAGGTCGAGCTTCTCTTCATGGGCACTTTTCTCTTAATGGGCGGCAAGGGTGGGAAGCTCCACTTCTTGTTAGCTACATAACAATATATGAGCAACTTGCTTAACATATGTAACCAGTTTTAATCCTATACTACCTACCAATGCAAGAATAATTGTGTTGCAGACGCTGTTTAGTCAGCTGATTTAAGCGTGGCTGGGTGAACTTAGTCCTCAACTTTGGCGCCACATCCTCAGAGTCGCCTCCATCCATGGAGCGGCGCGAAGTCATGCTCGTCGTTGAGGCAACTCTCGTCAAGCGATCTTCTGGTGTCGGTGACGGTGTCGGTGGTGCTGCAGCAGCGGTCATCAATTTATTATTGTAATTATTATTATTGTTGTTCTTTGATGGCTCATCAGCCATTTTTCTGGGCAGTGGCAGCCTTGACGGAAGCTATAAATTAGAAAAGAAAAAATAATATATTCAAAGTATTTTTTTCTGTACAGCTTAAAGTGTTGCTTCGCACAGGCTGAGCCTTGGTTGCTTCATCATTCTTGCTGGTTTCATTGTTGGCGGCGTCATTCAACTTGGCAACTTCAGCCCCAGCCAGTTTTTGTGGGTTTCTCTTGCCGCCCATTTTTTGCGGTACTGTAAACAAAATATTTGTTGCATATGTTATTTAATTTGATGAGTCAATTTAATTTGAAAATAATGCCACTTACAACGCGATACAACTGGGGAATTTTGCATTTTGGGTATATCCTAATGCCCTATGTCTTATTTTAGCGTAACAAAATCTGTAAAAAAAATAGAAATAAAAAATATTAATTTCGAATTACGAAACTCAGCGTTGTAATGTTTGATGTTGAATGAATGAGAATTGTTTATGAATTTTAAGTCACATTTAAATATAAAATATCGAGAAAGCCTGCTTTATAGATGAACAATTAGTGGTTGTACTTTGTGATTGAATGAAAATAAAGGAATATTTGTATGCCTCGATAAGAAAGACTTCTGCATAAGATAGCAGAGAAATCTATTTCATATGAATTTGCTAAATTTAATTAATTACACAAAAATTGCTCTGTTTCGCCCACTGTGCAGGAAGCACACCAATCGCTCATTTCTTGCTTCCCATCCGTTTCAGTTTCGTTGTAAATTGTTTAGAATTATGCGATAAAAACAAAACACAAAACACACACGCTCAAAGCAGAAGCAAGAGCAGCAAAAGGGAGACAGCAACAACAAGAACAACAATATTCTGCTATCGCTCCCACACTCCCACGTTCTCTCTCTCTCGCTCTCTCTCTCTCTATCTTTCTCTCTTTGCCCGTTGCTCTATCTCTCACATAAATAACTGCACATCGTCGAAATGAATTTACAAATTGAGCAGCTCGTGCAATTTGCAGTTCAGTTGCGATTCGAGCGCTTGGCGAGACGGTTGTGAATATTCATTAAAATCAGATGCGGATCAAGTGAATTTTAAGTGCAAAGATAATCCGCATTTCAGCTAATTTACTAGACACATGAATATAGGACATTTTTGCTAAATGTATGCAAAAAGTTTCATCATATTGGTGATTTTTTATTGATAATACGTAAGTCGTTAGCGAGTGGATGGCAATTGACTTGAAGGTGTCGCAAAGCAAAGTGAAACACTTTTAGAAACCCTAAAAGTGATTTTAATCATGTTGTTTTTCTATTGGCATTTGAATTTGCTTTCGTTGCTGCTGCTGCTGCTGCTGCTTCTGTCGTTAAGCTCGACACTTTTTATTTTACTTATTTTGCACACTCGCCACAATTTTCAATTGAATTTAATCAGTGACGTAGTCGCCGACTGACTGATGTCCCTCCTAATAAAGTACATACTAAGTATGTGCATATGTATGGGCTTAATTCGAGAGGGTTCTCACAGTTTACTTTTTTTTTACTACAAGTTCCGCCTGACAATTGAATTGAACCAGCGAAATAGAAAGTGCAGCATGCAAAGTACTAAGGGCTTAATATATTTCTCAATTTGTAGATAAGTTATTGTATATATATGCTCTAAAAAAGAAAAAAATGTTCTATAGCAATGTCAAGTGCAATTGCAATTAATTAACATGGCCAACATTGACATTTGATACAAATATTCATTGATATGCAAAGCAATTAAAAAGCCAAACGATATTTGAATGTAAACCACAAAATGGTTTCCGCATTCAAACGAAATGCAAATTACGAATATGACATTTAAATATAGATGGATCATATAAAAATAGCATTCGTTGCTTATCAAATTACCATCAATAATTGATACAAATAATTTAATAAAATGATAATGATTTGTGCTTATAGATGCAGCATTTTAAAGCACATCTAATTCTTGAAATCATAATTATGTCGTCATAGTAAGAGAAAGTTGTTCTCATTTAAATTAATAGTAGATTAACGAAATCGGTTCATTGATTTTATTTATTTGTTGCTTTTACTTTCATATACAGCATGCACTGAAAGTGAAACGAAGTACAAATTAATTAGGTTTTTAAGCCCAACTCTTATTCGTTTACTTCAACTCCCAGCAAAGCTTTCACCTTAGCCAGATTTCACCTCAGTTGTTGATGAAAAGGAGCATGAAGAACAATTAATTCAATCGACTGCCAATACTGTGCTGTGGTGAGCTTTCAAGCTCACGTTTACAGCTATCTGTAATGTTTTGTAAGAGTAATTGCGAAATAAAACGCTTATTTCGATGCCTATTTTCGATGTATCTTTAAATCCATACTGTCCGAACTGTACGTTTAATTGAAAGCATGGCAAATATGCCAAATCTAAAAATAGATCACCTAATTAATGGCGTTTCAATTTGCAGCACCCACAAGCTGTAAAATACAGTGCAAGTGAGAGAGCGAGAGAGAGAGAGAGAGAGGGAGAGATAGGAAGAAAGAGTGCAAGCAATGTACGGATTTCTATACATCATCATTTTATTGGCAATCGGATGCGATTTACCGTTAATCCAGGCATGCAGTCGAGTGCCTCCAGGGGCAACTGCAGCCAAATCGCCAGTGGATGAGAACTTTGTGCTCTCCGTGGCAAACAATGCGCAGAGCTATGTGCCTGGCCAGAAGTACAATGGTGAGTAGAAGAGAGAGAGCTTTTAACATAAGAGAGAGAGAGATAGAGAGATACTCACCTTTCACCTCTGTCTAGTCACATTGAACGCCTATTCAGGGCTCTCTTTTGTGAGCTTTAGCCTCGCACTTGAGCTGGAGAACGGGGATGCTGAGGATGATCCGAATGCAATCGGCGCCTTTGAGATTAGTGATTTGTCGGAGACACGCTTCAGTCCACGCTGTCCCAATCTCGTTGAGAATACAAACACCAATCTCAAAACGCATGTGGATGTTGTCTGGGCAGCACCAACCACTCCAGGATTGGGCTGTGTCCTGATCCGTGCGACGGTCATGCAGCATCGCGATGTTTGGTTCATGGACGACGGACTGCTGACGAAGCGCATGTGCGAGGAGGAGGTCGATGACATCAACACTCAGCCCAGCATCGTGGATCCCTGCTGTGCCTGCGACGAGGCCAAATATGAGGTGCAAATTGTCCTATATTTTAGTAAATCGCCTTCGCTACTAAAAACTAGTGCTTTGCCTTTTCTGAGTTAATGGAACAGATTAATAACTTATTCATCTTTCAGTTAACCTTTGAGGGCAAATGGTCGCGTCATACGCATCCCAAGGACTTTCCGGCGAACAGTTGGCGCACTCGTTTCAGCGACATCATTGGCGCCTCGCACACCATCGACTATCGCTTCTGGCAGTATGGGGAGCTGGCCAGCGAGGGATTGCGCGAGGTGGCCGAGCATGGTTCGACGCGCACCCTGGAGAGCGAGCTGAAGGATCAGAGCGACCACATTCGGACCATCATTAAGGCACGTGGCATTGCCTATCCGAATGTAACGGGCAAAACATTTGCAGTATTCCGTGTGGACTCCAATCATCATTTGATCTCATTGGTCTCCATGGTGGATCCATCCCCCGATTGGATTGTCGGCGTCTCCGGACTAGAGCTGTGCTTGCCCAATTGCTCGTGGGTGGAGAACAAGGTGCATAATCTATATCCCTGGGATGCGGGCACAGATAGTGGACCTTCCTACATGGTGAGCGAAGTTTTTTGATGATTGATAGTTTCTTTTTAATACACTATCTGTTTCTTTCAGTCCGCAGACCAGCCTCAGGTGCCGCCCGATGTTGTCCGTCGAATCAAGTCCAATTTTCCCAATGATCCACGTTCGCCCTTCTATGATCCCACGGGCGCTGAGATGAAACCACTGGCTACTCTACACATTAACAGGCGTCGTCTCTATGAGAAGAATTGCGAAGCAGGCGATAGTAAGTGGAGAGTCTCTACTAAAGATTATTCCCTTAACTAACTGAAGTCTCGCTTCTCAGCGGAGCAGGTGCCGCCGGAATGCGCCACGCTCGCCTGGAGTCGGTGGGATGAGTGCAGCGCCAAGTGTGGACCCGGCAAACAGTACAGGACACGTGAATTTAAGAATCCCACACTGGCCATGGTAACTAAATCAATTGGGCAAAATGTAATATTATAATATATAATCCATTAATAATCCAACTTCCTCACAGCGTCACAGATGCAACAATGCGTTGCGCGAGGAGAAGCACTGTCAGGGCCGCAAATGTGCCACCTTCAACGAGGAGGTGCCCGAGGGCGTGCAGCCTGTGGAGGAGTTGCCCAACACCGATCCCGAATGCGGGCTGTCCGAGTGGAGTGAGTGGTCCTCGTGCACGGTGACCTGTGGCACGGGCGAGATGATACGCACCCGTCACTACCTCAACCGGCGGGCGAAGAAGAAGTGCCAGAAGGCGAGCAAAGCGCGTCTACAGGAGATGAGATCCTGCGAGGCGAGCCAATGCGGTGGCGACATTGGCAACGGAGACGAGGCGGAGGCTGATGATACCCAAACCGATGCAATGGGCGATGCTGATGGTAATGGCAATGGAGATGGCTCGACGGAGAAGCGTTCCCTCTTCCGCAACTTCCAGAGCTATAGCCAGCGCAAGGAGGATTATGTGCCAGCCGTGTGTGGTTTGTCACCCTGGTCGGACTTCTCGCCGTGTTTGGGTCCCTGTGGTGGCACTGGGATACGCAAGCGTATGCGCAAAGTGTGGAACAACAATGAAGTGTATGGCGTCCATGATCCCAATGACGATGGCACCGATCCCTGTCGCCATATCAAACTGCTCGAGGAGGTCAATTGCACGAATCCCAGCTGCGACACGATTGTGCCACACTTCTGTTTCGAGTCGCCGCGGGAGAGTCATTGTCGCGATAGCGATGTGACCAACTATTGGTATTACGATCATCCGAGTGATCAGTGTGCCATTTACTGGTCGGATCGCTGTGACACGAACCTCAACAAGTTCAAGTCGAAGGAGGAGTGCGACGAGACGTGTCGCCTGCCCCGCCACAAGCAGCAGCTGCGCAGCGAACAACGCCTCAGCTCCGAACAGCCGATGATGCAGCATCGCATCGATTGTCTCGTCTCCGAGTGGATTTCGCATCACTGCAACGCCACCTGTGGCGAGGGAGTCCAGTTGAGGACGCGTCGAGTGCTGCGCACACCCAAATATGGCGGCAAGCAGTGTCCCAAGCATCTGGTGCGTTTGGATCGCTGCTATCAGCGCTGCGACGATATGTATTCGGTGAGTGGCAGCTTTAATGATCGGCGTCATCTGCCCACAGCCAAGTTGCAGGCGCTGGAGTTGCGCGACGAATGCCGCTACTCGGAGTGGTCCGCCTGGACTCCGTGCACTGCCAGCTGTGGCAGCAACTCGGTGCGTCAACGCACTCGCACCCTGCTCAACACGGATCTGAGCTACAAGTGCAAGGATCGGGTGCGCATCGAGAAGTGCGTCATGATGCCGTGTCTCCTCAATAGCAACGACGACATCGACAAGTGGCAGTAATATCGAATTTATTTATGCATCATGTCAATTTAGTCTAGGCTCGCTTAGTATTAGCTACTCTATTTATATCTATATATATAATTATATATATATTTAATCTTGTATTGATAATACACAATCCATGTAATCTCTCGTATTTTATAAAAGACTATCATGTCTTTGATTATATATAAAATAAGCAAATAAAATATAAAACAAACAGAATTCAACACGGATTCAATCCCATTTATGCTAAGCTTTTTACCACACCACACAAGGGCGAGCGGAGCTTAAAAGCTTTGCACATCTTAATGTGAGCAGAAGGAGCATAAAGATCAAATTAATCAGCTGCTGTTTTTTGTATGCCAACAATTTTGTTTGTTTTTCCAGCGACATAATTTGCGGCACGTTTTTATTAACGAATTCGCCATTTGGGGAACTGTCTGCTGCTTATGATTGACCCACATAAAATGCTGCAGAGCACTTCGCTTCGGCACTATTATGTTTTCAAAGCAAACAGTTCAAAGAACCCAACGCGAAATAAATTAATTAATTGTCAGAGACACAAAGAAATAAATAGTCGAAGAACGTATTAAAAGGCGCCACTCGAAATATTTAAAGTAACGACTCAACTCAATTAAGATGGGAGCTCTTATATTGTAGAGAAAACGACGCCGCAACGCAGTCTGTAAAAAATAATTAAGAGTGTTCATCAATCGCTTGGAAACTTAATTTGGACAGTTTGCTTTTGGCTGCGGCTGCGTTTGGAGTCTCGGACGGATGAAAATGAGTCGAATTGTGGTCGTAATTCTGTTTGTTGTGCCCTGGATTCAGGATGTGAGTGGCGGCTGCAGTCGGATTCCCCAAGGCGCCAGTGGAGAACGTTCGGCTGTCGATGAGAATTTTAAGATATTGATCGATGGCAACCCGGAGACCTACATACCCGATCATCAGTACAATGGTGAGTCTTGAGAGACATGCTCTTTATAAAAATTAATTATTATTCGCCTTTTAGTTTCGCTGTCGTGTCCCATCAGTCTGAAGTTCATCAGCTTTACGTTGGTCGTGGAGAGCGAGGATCCTGGTGTGCCGTATAATGCACAGGATGTGACGGGACACTTTGAGCTGTACGACAGTTCCGAGACGAGATTCAGCGCTGGCTGCGAGAACATGGTCGAGAGCACAAATACAAATGCCAAGACTCGTATCGATGTCTCCTGGATGGCGCCCAAGCTGCCGGATAGTGGATGTGTCCTGATCAAAGCGGGCATCGTTCAACACCGCGATGTCTGGTTCATTGACGATGGATTCCTGACCAAGCGCATCTGCCCCGAGGAGATTGATGAGCTGAATAGCTTAACGCCTCCCCTACAAAATTGTTGTGCCTGCGATGAGGCCAAATATGAGGTGAGTAGAAATACACATCGAAAGTTGATTCATTAGCCACAACTCACCATAGATTGTGCTGGAGCGGAAGTGGGCGCGTAACACGCATGCCAAGGACTTTCCGCCGGAGGCGTGGCGCACACGTTTGGGCGAAATCATTGGGGCCTCGCATAGTTATAGCTATCGCTATTGGGCGTACGGGGGGCGAGCGAGCCAGGGCATGCGTGAGCTGGCCGAGCATGGAGCCACCCGTACACTGGAGCAGGAGATTCGAGATAATACACAGGTTCAACTACTCTAATCTTATTCACACTCGTTCGCTTTGAGTTTAGCTCATCTGTATCTTTTAGAATGGTGAGGTGAGGACTATTATCAAGGCGCCCGGCATTGGTCATCGTTTGAACGTCTTTGGCACAACCCTGGCGAATGCTCGGGTCGATCCACAGCATCATCAGATCTCGCTGGCAGCCAAAATTGATCCATCGCCCGACTGGATTGTGGGCGTGGCCGGCTTAGAGCTGTGCTTGAGCAACTGTACGTGGCTAGAGCGGAAAGTATTGAATCTATATCCCTGGGACATTGGTACCGATTCGGGTCCATCCTATATGGTGAGTTGATCTCTTGTAGTTGCTGCAGTTGACATTAATACATCTTCCATGCAGTCAGCTGATCAGCCGCAAGTGCCGCCAGATGTTATACGGCGTATTACCTCTTCGTATCCCAGCGATCCTCGTTCGCCATTCTATGATGATTCCGGTGCACCAATGAAGCCGCTTGCCACACTTTATCTGACGAGAAAGAAGTCTTATATGCGCGAGTGCGAGGAGGGTATGTGTATAAAACTTACCATATTAAAAGCATTACATTCAACGAAGAACAAAATTAGCAGAGTAATTTTCTGCCGGTCATCAATTAGCAATTTACTTCTACTGCGAGCAGTTGTTGACTAAAAGCCCAGTCGAGATCTGAGCTCAGAGAGCTGTGGTGAAATTGCGCGCAGAGCAGAGTGCTGAGGTGAGCTGCCGCTCAGAGCTGCAATGAGAGACGGGATCAAAAGCTTTACATGTTTTTACATAGTTTCGCTCAGCATTCTCAGTTAAAATTTTAAAGCTCTCTTTTTGTGCGTACGCCATTAATGAAAGCATAAGTAAAAGGAAGCTGTTGATGATTTTTCATTCCATGATTTTGCTAACAGTGTTGTTGTCATTGAAACATATAAAACAAAGTCAATGTCTCACTCTCTCTCTCTCTCTCTCTCTCTCTCTCTCTGCCTCTCTAGTACCCCAGGAGGGTCCGTTGGAGTGCGCTACTCATCCGTGGAACGATTGGAGCAACTGCAGCACACGCTGTGGTTCGGGCTACTCGCAACGTTTTCGCAGCTACAAGAATCCAGCGCTGGCCACCAGTTACAGCTGCGATCGTCGGCTGGAGGAGATGCGTCAGTGTCAGGGCACACAATGCGGCAACGAGAATGACCTGGGCAACGCCGCCTTCGACAATGGAGCATACAATAATCCGAATGGACCCGATACCATAGCCGAGTGTGAGCTGGGCACGTGGAGCGATTGGTCGCCATGCTCGAAGACATGTGGGCGTGGCATTTCGACACGGACACGTGACTACTACAATCCGCAGGCGAGATCACGTTGCCAGACAGTGATGCGAATACCGCTCGAGGAGTCGCGACAGTGCACGGGTTCTGATTGTGGTGGCACCATAGCCGACCATGGCGATTTCGATGGATTAAAGCAGCCGGAAGTATTTGGCGAGACGAGTGAGGATGGATATGACAAACCCGCCTGGGGTTTGAATGCGAATAGAAACAGGCAGGGATGGAACAATAATTTGGCAGCCGCTTCACCCACTGAATTTCCGCGTGGTCCCTTCTCCAATCGAGGCACTGAGGTCTATAATAAACCCAATAGCTACAACGACAACAGGGAGGAAAAGGTACCCAACAACTTTAATGATTATAGGCAGGAGAATAGAGGCAACAACGAGGACTACAAACAACCCAATAAATTCAATGATTACCGACAGGATAATAAGCTGAACAACTACAACAATATCGAGCAGAGTCCGGAGTACAATTTGCGACCGGGTTTCAGCACACGTGCTCCATCAACTGTACGGTACGGGAATCGACAGCCGGATGCGTCGGGTAACTACAATGTGATGCAGGACTATTGCTACGAGAAGCCATTCGCTTCGACACAGCCCTGCCTGGCCAACCCAGTGATTGTGCGCAACTATTGGTTCTACGACCATGATGATCACGAGTGCAAGATCTTCACCACGGACAACTGCGATGAGAACAACAATCGTTTTCGCACCCTGATGGCCTGCGAAGGCACTTGTCTGTTACCCCAAATTAATCTGGCACGAACCGAGGAGGGCGACACTATGAATCCTTATGGAGTAGCAGCGAATCCATATGGTGGAGCACCGACGCCAATGAATTCTTATGGAGGAGCACCGATGCAGGTGAATCCATATGGAGGAGCTCCGATGCAGGTGAATCCATATGGAGGAGCAGCGAATTCAATGAATCCTTATGCAGGAGCAGGGAGTCCGATGAATCCTTATGCAGGAGCAGGGAGTCCGATGAATCCTTATGCAGGTGATGCAGTGCGAGCAAGTGGAGGATTCGGCGAACCCATGTCGCAAACAAAAAACAAATATAACAATGCTATTGGTCGGCGAGGACGTTATGGCAGCTAAGCGCAAATTATATTTAAAGGGAGTTGTTTTAGCTGGTTTCTCTATAAATCAAGGATTTATGGAACTAAAAAAAGGCTTGATTTAAGGTTTTTAGCATTCATTACAGAAATGTATTCTTAAATAAAAGTCGTGTTATTTGCCGTAAGCCACTTTTTTTAATCTGTTGCATTTTTTGTAAATTATATTTAAATGGAGTTTTCTTAGCCGGATTCCTTACGGCATCAAGGAAGGAACCAAAGCAAACAGTGAGCACAAGCTTGATTCAAGTTTTTAGGCATTAATCAAAGAAATTTGTGCTTAAATATTGAAATCTCGTTCATTTTTTAATCCTATAAGTCTGAAACTTTTGCCTTCGCATCGTCATCTTTCCCATCTTGAGCAAAAACTGATTTTTACTATTTTAATTTCGCTCTTAGGAACAATTTTTCCTCTTTCATTTCTTTTTAATTTTCTTGCTGCTTACAGCTTAGTTTAAGTGTTAATAATCTCTTTAATTTTGCTCACTCTTTTCAATATTAATTTTGTATAGTCTATGCTTTATTTTTCCGGTTTTTCTGTCGTCTGCTGATAATTATTTGTATTTGTACCAGTGGGTCAGAAAAATAATGTTCTCTTCTGCCGAGCGACAGCTGAGCTTATCAGTCACCGACTTGGCTTTCAGCTTAGCTCACATCCAAAATTGTACGCTCAGTTCCAAGCCGTAGCTCAAACCGTAAAGAACGAGAAGAGCTAATTAAAGTAAAAAATCAATTCAATATGTGGCATTTGATGATGCTTTACATGTTGCTGTTGCCCTGGAGAGGATGGGCATTGATCTGCACACGTCATCCGAAGAATACGAATACGCTCAAATCGCCGGTGGATGAGAACTATGTGATAAGCGTGACGGGCAATCCGGAAACTTATATACTGGGACAGGAATACAACGGTGAGCTTTAATGGGTTCATTGGCATTGCGCTTGAACTTCAATAAAATACCAGATTGAGCTCAGTGTAATAAAAATGCATGATTCGACAAGTTCGATTTTCCCATCAAACAAAACAAACAAGAACAAAACATTCCGCAATGAATATAATAAACAAATCGTTGTATAAGTCTTATCAGGACCATTGCGAATTGAATTTCAAGGTCGACTCAAGATAAGCCAACTCGTGCTTTGTGTCTGTTTGTCTGTGCACGTCGAGAAAAAATCGCTCTGCATTTTAGAAAATCATCCTGAAAATAGAGTTTTTCTTGTTTTTCTAAAAATGAAAAGGGCTTGCATTAAATTGAAAATCCTTTTCCGAATTTACAAAATTCAGACCGACTTTTTCTGTGAGTGTGATTTTAGTCAAGTTATTTGAATCTCCCTCTATCTCGATCTCTAAACGACAGTTTCCCTGAATGCATTCAATGGACATCGCTACATTAGCTATATACTCGCCTTGGAGAATGAGAATGGTGACTTTAGCTATATGAACGATCTGGGGCGATTTGAGTTGAACGATTTGATCGAGACACGTTTCAGTCCGAACTGCATCAATATGGTGGAGAACACGAACACCAATCCCAAGACCCATATGCATTTGACCTGGATAGCGCCCAGTGAACCGGGCAACGGTTGCATCCTGATACGTGCCACTGTGTTGCAACATCGCGACGTGTGGCACATGGACGATGGCGGACTGACGAAACGCATCTGCGAGGAGGTCGTCGACGATGTCGAAAGCCAGCCAACGGCCAGCACCTTAAACCTGGGTCCCTGCTGTGCCTGCGATGAGGCCCGATATGAGGTGAGGTGGTATATATAAAAAATCCCATTTAGATACAAAGTCTCCTTTGTATTAGTATTAGTAACATGGCTTTCAGTCGAGCAGCTAAAAAATATATCCCTTGAAAATCAAAAGTATTTCTGAGGACTTGCGGAAGTTATAGGGAAACAAATTAAGGTCTCCAAATCTGCTTCAGGAATGACAAAAACTAGGAAGCCTGATAGCCTAAAAACCATAACATTAATAAGTTAACTTAATCCTTAATTAATACTCCGAAAACCTTTACCAATTTGAGAGAGAAGTCACCCAATTGAATCTTATTCCTTACAGCTCACATTCGAGAGCATCTGGTCGCGAAATTTGCATCCAAAGGACTTTCCCGCTCGCGGCTGGCAGACGCGCTTCTGTGAGCTGGTGGGCGCCGCACACAGTTCCGACTATCGCTTCTGGGAGTCGGGTGCGCTGGCCAGCGAGGGAGTCAAGCAGTATGCCGAGCACTGCACTTCCCGACTGCTCGAGCGCGATTTCAGCATTAATTTCCGAGTGAGCTGAGAGGGAGCCATTGTCTAAAAATAGAAAATAAATAATAATAAATATATCGTTTGCAGGATCAAAAGATACGCACCATAATCAAGGCACGCGGACCTGCATACCCCAATCTGAATAGCAAGACGACGGCATCGGTGCGCGTGGATCCCGTGCATCATATGATCTCGTTTGCCTCAAAGATTGAACCATCGCCGGATTGGATTGTTGGCGTCACCGGACTGGAGCTGTGCTTGCGCAACTGCACCTGGCTGGAGGCGAAGGTCATCAATTTGTATCCCTGGGATGTTGGCACAGATGCGGGACCCAGCTATATAGTAAGCGCAGGTAGCTATGCAGAGGGATAATATTTAAGTGATATCTTTTGCTTTGCATTGTTAGTCACCCGATCAGCCGCAGGTGCCGCCAGATGTGATAAGACGCATACGCTCAGATTTTCCAAATGATCCGCGTTCGCCCTTCTACGATGAGACGGGGGTGCCAATGAAACCAATGGCCATGCTGACGGTGCGTCGACAACGCATCTACGAGCGACGCTGTGTGGATGAGGAATGTGAGTGGAAATAGTTTATATAGATGTATATATATAAATACATTAACTGATATCCTTACTAAGCCAACAACGATATGGATGTGACGCGTGAGTGCCTTACTCATCCATGGGCCAGTTGGAGCGAGTGTTCCAGCAAGTGTGGCGAGGGCATGCAGTATCGAAGACGCGTCTACAAGCAGCCAGAACTGGCGAGGATCTACAATTGCAATGTGCCCCAATATGAGGAACGCGCCTGCGAGGGACTTGCCTGTGGTATGAGCGAACCAATGCGCAATGCCGGTGACTTCGATGATGAGTTCAACATGGGACAGATTCCGCCAGGCTACATCCAGCAGCACCAGCAGCAGCAGCAGCAGCGACGCGCCGAGTGTCAGTTGTCCAACTGGGGCAGCTGGAGTCCGTGCAGCGTTACCTGTGGCGAGGGCTATCAGACACGCCAGCGCCAGTATCTCAATCCCAATGCGGAGCTAAAATGCCAGAGTGTCCATCGACTGGAGCTGCAGGAAACGCGTCAGTGTGCGGGCCGTGCTTGCTTAGGCAATTTAAATGGTGCTGCTGCTGATTTTGAGACACCATATCAAGAGCGGGAGCGAGGACGGCTGCCTGAGCCAGAGAACGAGTTGAATATCTTCAATAGAAATAGGATGAACAACAATTTTAATCGAGAATACGATCAGGGTCAAGTCGATTATAGTCACCGTGAATCCCCATTCGATGTGGCCAACTTGAAGGGCACTCAAGGCAGCCAGTGGGGTCAGGAACAAAATCCTGCTGCACAGTGGCCACCACAACGACAAGTTCCCCAGCAGCCAATAGCCCCAAATTTTGGCCAGATTCCGCCACGGCCGGAGGATGTGGAGCAGACACCTTGGCAACGCCCCAGACCCGGAGATAACTACAGGGAGGAGCAGCAGTTGCGATACGACAACAGAGCTCCGACTGGAGCAGAAGCAAATCCATATCCAGATCAGGAACTCAATCCAGCGCGCACACCTTGGCAAAGACCAGGCAATGCCAACATTTACAACAGAGCTTTTGATGAGACAAGTGGGAATATTGGTAATGAAAATAATTACCTGTCCAAGCGTTGCTTTCAAATGCTGAGGACAATTCAGCCACGCTGCCAGAATCAAACGATTGTTGGCCACTTTTGGTTCTACAATTTCTGTGCGGATGAGTGCATGTTGTTTGCCGCCGATCCGTGTGATCGCAACGTGAACAAGTTTAGCAAGTGGGAGCAGTGCGAAGAGTGCCGCCAGCCCGAATTCCAAATGTTGCAGGAACAACGTTCCGCTTCGCAGGAATGTCATCTGATTTTGGCCTCACAGCAAGCGCAGCAGCGAAACCGGCAAGGTGAGCGACATTATTCAAACAGATGGCAAAATAACGGCAATCAGCAATGGGGATGAAATGGTTTTAAGCCTAGTCTAAATTTATTTTCAATGTTTCTTCATTCTTTCACTACCACACAACTTAAATTATGCTTCGAACTGTTAACTTCATAAATAAATCCTATCGAAATACAAGCAGCACTTTTCACTATTTACATTTAAAACGGCGCCATGTTATCGCACTCAACCGATGACGATAAGTTGTATTCGATATATGCTGAAGCACGATGACTTTCATTGACTACAAAATACACATTTATTATTAATATTTTTAAATTGATTTATAATATATTTTAGCTGGAAATGTTTTAACGTACAAAATATACTCAAAAGTGCGCGCAGCTAAATATCGATAACAATTGGCCAACGCGATATATTTGCAACTCTGATGCATTAAACGGCAAATTGACATAGAATAATAAATAAACGCACAAAACAAAGCAAATCAAAAATGCAATCCCAGCGATTAGCAACAATACACAATTTGCTGGCGCTGCGTTCGTTGGCGCTGCAAACACCCAAATATCCGAAAATACAACAACAAAAAATACAGCTCTACGCATGCTGCTTAAAGCGAAATCTTACACAAGCAACAAATACAACAACAACAAAAACAGATGAGCAAAAAGCAAAGCGGCTGCAACAAAAAATAACATTGATTGCCCAAAATCAGGCCATGAGCATCACCACACTAGAGGATGCTCAGAAGCTGGCCAAGCGACGGGATTTGCACCTGCTGCGACTGAATCAAACGGATGCCAAAACAGGGCGTCTTATGTTCAAGTTGGTTTTCTATATATACATATACAACATATAGATATAAAAGTACTTTATAATTAAACGCGACAATTTTCAGGTTGGTCACCGCTGCCGATATGCTGGCAGATGATACGGTTGAAGGCAAGGATGCATCTAGTAAGTCAGCTGCGGAGAAGGGCAGCAAGAAGACGACGGAGAAGTCGTTAACTATTGGCGCTCGCATAACAGATCATGATCTCGCCTCCCGACTGAAGAACATCGCCAAATGGCTCCATAAGCGACACGAGGTGCGCATCCTCATCCAGGGCAATCTGAGCGGTGCCGACGAAGGCAGTGCGGAGCGCATTGTCAAAACCATCGAGACCACCATCAAGGAGCCACAAGTCATTGGCAAAATCGTTCAGAGACGTCAAAAGGGTGGCTATATTAAATTTAGCATAATGCCGATGGCATCACCGACTCCAACGCCAGCTGCCCCAACTCCGGCTGAGTCGTGACAACCAAAGCGGCCTCGGACGCAACTCACTAAAAGCATGCTCAAAACGACTCCGTCTGCATTCTGCTTGAATGTAGTGCACTACTCCACGATGGAGCAGCAAGGCGATAAGGGAGATCGCCCGGAATCCACTAAAGCAATAGTTGTGGCCGCTGCATCTGTCTTATTAATTTTCATCTTAAAATACGTGTTTTGGTTGCGGGTGACCTTTAAGGGCGGCAACGATAGAAATTAAAACACTTTTTATACAGTTATACAATAAAATCGGGGAGCTTTTTTTGTCTGCTTTAAATTGTTGTTTATATTTGAAATGGATATTACACAAATTTAATAATATATAGAAATTTCAACTATAAATAATGTTAGCCTCTTAAAAGAAACTAGTTAAATAATTTTCAGCATTTTATATATGTCCTAAATTACGAAAGTTTGTCTTTGTCATGTTTAGAATTGTTTGTCGAGCAAAAGCAAAAGTTTATTAATCCCTTAAGAGAAACTAGTTAAATCCTCTTCAATATTTTAGATATCTGCTTTATTTATTTATACGCACATCATAATATAGTGGAATTTTTTTTTTTTTTAATATACATATAATATTTCTTTGTATTTTGACTGATTTTTATGCTGATGAATACATATAAATATTCCGTATAATTGTTTAAATTTCAGAAAGCAAATTTACGTATTACACATTAAAATGGTATATATATCGAATTAAGAAACAGACATTGCACACAATATTAAATAAGCTAATTAATTACACACACAACTATATAAATAAAGCTTGGTATTTTTTTTTAAATAAATTAATTAGGATGTGGAATATGATTTGTAGTAATTCAATGTTTCAAGGAATTGCACCAGTTCAAGCTTAAATAAAATGCAACTAAGCCAAAGTCTGTTGAAATTAGGAAAACTAAATATATAGACATAAATTACTTAAGCAAAAGCAAATTACAAATACGGCACAAGGAACATTTATCAAGTAAATCTACCCGAAAAATCAATTAGATTGATTGAAACAGTAAAACAAAGCAAAGCTGATAAGAAATAACTGATAAAGAAAGCCTCTAAATGATTCATCTGATTCATCAGCAAAAACAAAAGATAAAAAGAAACTCTTTTAAAACATTGAACATTTTTGGAATGAACTATGAACTAAATAAATTAACTACAGTAAATGCAAAAGCGTTTCTGTTTTTTGGGGCTTAAGCCTTGTTTGTGTTGATCTTGTTGTGGTTGTTGTTGCTGCTATTGTTGTTAGTTGTTGTTGTTGTCACTTACAAGTTGGTTTGCTTAGACACGCTGAATCTCAAAGAGCTTGACCTCCGTATCATACCAGATGGCCGGCTCCACGTTGCGCAAATAGATGACGCCCCAAATGTAGGTGCGGAACCAGGCGGTGGTGCCCGAGTTCGCCTGATATTTGCGTATGAGAATGGGATGTGGCACGGGCAACAGACCGACCAGAGTGCCATGTTGCAAGAACTTGAGTATCTCCGACTCGTCGGTCAATCCCTTGTCAATGCATATCTTCTCCACTTGTGGCACCAGCACCTGCAACAATCTCATTATCGTTTGCAGCGGCAACTTCGAGCGCCACGAGACAATCCATTCGGGTGTTGGTGTCCAACGATCCCCGTCACCGGGCACCATGCGTATGCTGGCGCGGTGTGCCACCGAGAGACGCGACTGATCTGTCGGAGATCCATCTGCTGTCGGTGATTTGGATTTCGTGGAAACGGGCGACGACGATGACGGTTTGTCATAGTCCAGATGCGCCTGTTCGCGTTCCGTCATCTGGCCAATATCGGGCGTGTCCAGCAGCGAGGTTTTCAGCGTGCCCGGCTCGGCGGGTTGGGCGCTCAGTGGCGGAGCCACTGTATCCGGCAGTTGAGTGGTGTCGCCCAACTGCGAACGTTCATGGGATTCCGTTTCCGATTCGAGATCCTCCTCGGCAATCGTTTGCTTATCCAAACGTATGCGGTTCACATTCAAGTCGTCTTCATCCTCCTCCCCCTCCTCGTCATCGTCATCCTCCACATCGTCGGCATACTCTTCGGGCGCATGAGCCGAGGGCAGCTCCTGGTTACTCATCGTCGACGTCGTCGGCATCGTCTGTTTGCGTTGCGGCACACGTGGCAAATTGAATTTGCCACCCGTTTTGCGGCCACTCAAACACTTTGAGATGCCCGCCATATCAGTGGGTAAGTTAGCCATGGCATGGAATACATGACGCTTACGTATTATCGTATAGACTAGATTCGAGTTGCCATCGAACTGATACTGAATGATGTTGTTGAAGATCTCCAGCAGAAAGAAAACCAAATGATGATTGCTCGGCGCCGAGAGCAGAAACCATGGTGTACTAAATGCCTCCAGCAGATGCAACAGCTTCACACTGGCCACCATCGAGAGTGTCTTCAGATACGGCGACACATTCACCAGAATGGTCAGCAGGCAATCAAACAACGGCTGCAAACGCTGATGACCCGTTGCGATGATCTTGTGGAACACGGTGATCAGCAGATCCGCATGGGTGCCCGTAAAAACGGGTATATCCATTGGTACCGTCGCCGAATACGCCTTGTTCAGACGTACCCCGAAATTGCGTTCACCTTAAGGAGTAATTTTCGATTGGTAATTTATATATAGTTTATATATAGATACACAACTGGAGAGTAAAAATGGGTGGGAAGACAACTGAATGTAAATATCAGGCTCAAAATACAATATATATTAATATTAATATATTAAGTAAGCTTGGCGAGACTTGAATATAGTATTAAGTTATTGTTGCTGGCCACCAAGTTATTCTACTGTCAAGTTGTATAATTATGAGTGGAGGCCTCACCCGATAGCAGCAGCAGTATAAAGACGCCAATGTGCATCAGACCCACACGCGACTGATCCGCTCGCGAATAGTTCAAATGATATAGGATGGGTATGAGGATGTCCAGCACATCGGAGCTCTTTAGAACAAAATACAAGAACTTCTTGTTGTAGTCACAGATCTTCCAGAACAGTATGAGCAGCTCCTGGTGGCAATGCAACCGTTTCGTCGAATTGGGTAAATAATTCTGGACGAGCGGATTGTTGAGCAGTCGCGTTATGCCGCGCAGCACAAAATGGAAATCCTCATCGCGATGCACGCGGGACAGATAATTGATGAAGAGATTGTCGCCGCAGCCAACCTCATCGTAGGGCGTGACCAGCACGCCACCAGCATGGGTAAGTTGCTGCTGCTGTTGGTGCTGCTGCTGCTGTGGCTGATGCTGATGTTGTTGCTGCTGCTGTTGTTGTTGGATGACCATGTCGTGGTCCAAGGTGACAATCAGCAGTTGCAGACAGGCCTCAACGAGCGGCTCTGTGGTGTCCGCGAAGAGCAGATGATTGTAGGGCACACCAAAGCCGACGGGATCATAGGAACAGACGCTGTTCAGGAACGAGGTGAACAAGGGCAACGCATGCCTGTTGTCCGCCGACGTGAAGTAGGCGATCCACTTGTTGGGCTCCTCCGATTGCTGTGGCGTCCGATACATCGGCTCCGAGAAACACGTGAGCAACAGTTTCAACAGCTCCGTGCGGCGACGCTCCATTTGCGCATTTCTCGGCGGGGACTGGGCAAATCCAACGCCCGCCTCCCAAATATATTCGCAGCTATCAATGTTGGCCAACTCCTCGGCTTTTTCGGGACCGGCGCGCCGTGTGCCCTGCACTGTGAAATCCGGGCAAAAGAGCAAATCACAAATGGCATTTAACAGGGATTGGGCCAGTGGCACCGTCTGGCCCGGATTGGTGGCATGCTCCTGGGCGGGCAGGCTGCTCCAGAAGAAATCACGCCACTTATCGTCCTCGAAAATGTAGGGCAATATGCGCACCAGCAGCCGCACACAGTTGAGCACACACTGCTGATCCGCCTGCGTCCGGCAACTGCTGTCGACGGCTTGGGCCAATTTCTCCACAGCCTTGTAGCACAGTGTGGCCAGATTGGCGGGATTATCGTTGCGAATTTGTCGTATCTCACTAGCAGTGACCAAGGCGAAGACATCCTCGAGCGTTGTTTGGTGCGCCTGCCAGAATTGCTCCCAGAACTGGTCGTCGTTGTTGTCGATTTTCTGATTCTTTTGCGTCAACTGCACAATTGCCTTGCGAAAGTTCAACTTAGAATCGGTGTTTCCCATATTGTGGCGATTTTGACGTATCTGCAGCTGCCGATCGCTCGCTTGCTATTGCCCAAAGCAAAGTGTATCCCGTTGCTATTGCACTGATTGCAGTTTTACATACAATTTGTCTTGTTCTTAATTCGAAAATTAAGAAATTCGCCTACGCACGTTAAGAAAATATAAAGTAGAGCTATGTCCGTGTGTGCGTGCGTGTGTGTGTTGTTGTGGTGTCACACCTATCGATATGTGTGGAGAGCGGTAAGTGTGGCAACGCTCATGCCATATCGATACAAGGTATCGCTTATTCGATGAATAAAAACATAGTAAGCAATCATCGACTTTCAAAAATAAACTATTTTAATTTTGATTTCCTTGACAGAGACATTAGAAAAGAAAAAATGACTTCGCTGCGCCCATTTACCTGTAATGATCTATTCAAATTTAATAATGTGAATTTCGACTCGCTGACCGAAACCTACTTTCTCTCCTTCTACACAAAACATCTGGGCCAGTGGCCAGAATACTTTCAGCTCGCTGAGTCGCCGAACGAATGCATTACGGCGTATATTATGGGCAAGTCTGAAGGTGAGGGGGCTGAGTGGCATGGTCATGTTACGGCTCTGACAGTTTCATCGGACTACAGACGCATGGGCCTGGGTGCAAAGCTGATGAAGTACGTCGAAGATATTTCGGAAAAGAAGCGCGCCTATTTTATGGATCTGTTTGTGCGACAGAGCAATAAGGTGGCCATCAATATGTATAGAAATATGGGGTATATAATTTACCGCACCATACCCGAGTATTACTGTAGTAATAATCCACGCGAGGATGCGCATGATATGCGAAAAGCACTCTCACGAGACGTGAAGCAGCAGTCAATTATACCTTATGCGAACGTATACGATTAAATATAGATATTATTTAATTTCTGCTCCAATTTGCATTTATGTTTAGCAGTACAAAATAATTGTATTATATTTAAAATTAATATTGGCGGCAATTAATGCTACCTTCTATCGATTAGTCGATATACATGCAATTTAATCTCAGCAGTTTACACGGCAAGAAGAAGAGATACCTAAGCGGAGAGAAACAGAAATGTATAATTCTATTGAAATACCCGACTCAGATGACGATATGCCAGAACCGGCAACGGCTTTAGCAAAATCAACAAACAAACGCCGGGAAGCCGACGAACACACACCAGAAAAAAAACGCAAACTTTCAGCAGAAGTGGACGAAAAAGCAGCAGCAGTAGCCACCGCAACAACATCTGATTCCGATGCAGCTGTGAACAGTTCCCCAGCAAATGTGAGCAGCAGCAGCAGTAATGCGAATGCAAATTTAACAGCAACCCAAGTACGCCACAGGCCACGAAAAACTCAACATACTGTGCGGAATGCCGCTGAAAATGAAATACAATTCGAAAGTATACCTCTAGATGATGATGACGATGAGGATGAGGGTGGTGAGGATGAGTCGCATAAGATTAATGTACATTTAAAGGCACCTGCAACTGAGCCACTGATGTATGTATATGAGGAGTATATGAAAATGCTTGACAGACCCGATGTCCAGGAAATTATCGAGCGCATTGCCATTGAACGTGTGCGTTGTAATTTCCTACTGGCCACCTATCTCGTAAGAAACTACACACTATAATTAAATGCATAATCTATTTATTAAATACCTCTTTCAGTTGCCCGATATGAACTTTAAATTGAATACGCCGAAAGAAGTGCTAAAGAATCAATTTATAGAACGTGTGCGTCGCAAAGAGCGCTTGACGGGTGCCAAAATCAAATAAATATTAATTTTTAAGAAAATAAAGTGAAATAAATAAACATATGTTTCATTTGTGAAAGCAACCAAACGAGAAGCTTTTCTTGAAAGCTTTTTGCCGCTGTGATTTGTTTGCGCATGTCTCTGAAAAGTGCGTTTTGGTTGGTGACTGACATGAACTCAACGTAGCCGTGATCGTCTAGTGGTTAGGACCCCACGTTGTGGCCGTGGTAACCCAGGTTCGAATCCTGGTCACGGCAATGCTGCAATTGCACATTGTCACGGAGTTGAGTTTACTTTTTTCTTATTTTACTTATTTTTTCGTTTTTCTATTCAATTAAATTTTTATATTTTGAATATTTAAGCAGGCTTTTATTGAACAGACAGTTGTATATATTCTTTAACGCATTTCATACTTTTGCTACTTACAAAATCAACAATGGATTTCCAAATTGAAAACGAACCTTCTGACGATAGCGAATATGCTGAGATGGATTTCAGGCAAATCGATGAAAGCATTCAAGATATATCAAAAGGTATGCGACGAGGCGATTGGGCATATTTGGGCAGACATCCAGAGGTATTTTTGAAGTTTTTCTTGTTTTTTTTTTGCTTTTAATTTCATTTGATTCTACAGATACGCGCTATCGTGCGTTTCATCATAATGGAAGCAGCGAAAAATAAGAAACAGAAATGTATTTTTCGCTTTGTTGCCGATTTATTTCAGGAAAAGAATAAGAAAATGTTGCAAAGATTGGTAAGTGAATCATCGGAAATGTATATAGCCTTAAAGCAAGCATTACTTTTGGCAGATAAATAAGCAATTGAAGTGGGTGAATAAGCAGGTGAAAAGCGGCAAATGGTCGCCAGCCGATGGAGCAATGTCCTTTACCGCAACCAGCGAAACTTCCTTGGGCGCTGTAAAGAAATCGAGTTGTGAGCATGATTTGAAAAATGCAAAAAGCGATGATGATTTGCCAAGCCAGAAGAATCAGTGCCCGGAAAATTATCAGCCAAATTGTTGAAAACAATTGGAATTTATTAAAAGTGTTTTTTTTTTGTGTAAAATAAAATCAAAATCTAATATTGAAGCTTGGGTTTCGATTTTTTAGTTTTTTTGGCCTCCTTTAACAAATTGTTAACAGCTGCAGCCGCATTCTGATCATTTTCTTGCCTCTTTTCGATTTCAATGGCGGCGGCAAATGCGTGCAACGCATTCATTTCATAATTTTCGCGTGCCTCGATAACCATATTGAAATCTTCCTCGGATCGACGGAAGTCCAACTGGAATGTGGAAAACGTTATCATTGTGTTCAAGCACTTGTCGCACAGAAAACGCGGCAAGCCCGGTATATCTTTTATCTGTATTAACAAAAACAGATATTTTTATTATTTTTTGTTTATTTGTTTAATTTGAATACATACCTCAATGTGTACGGTATTGGCTATGATGCGTGTCAGGCGCCGTCCATTGAAAAGTGGCCGCAATTTGATTCCATTTTCCTTGTTTGCCTCACATTTGCAGATCCGGCAGCTATTGGTCAAATCGATATTAAATAGATTTTTAAATTCAATTTTCCTAGTCAAGCTTTCTTCAATGGCGGACATGATGTCGCTTTAAGAATAATATTCTTTTTTTTTGTTGTGCTCCAATTACGAATTTAAAACTGTTTAAGGCAAAGCCTGCTCTAATTAATGCCAAATTCAAATTTTATTATGTTTTTTGAATTCACCGCCACTTATCACTTTTCACCACACCCTAAGTTGGCTGCAATCAATTTTGCAAGTAGCTTTAAGTTGGCTGCACGCAATTTTGCAAGTCGCATTAAGTTGGCTGCAATAAAATTTTCCCAACTAGAGTGCAAAGCACAAGACAAACACAAGCGTAAAAAATCATATTGCATAAATTTTAGCACACGCTAATTATTTGGTTAATATATTGCAAAGGTATAAATGCGTAATCCATCAAGTTTGAGTATTCGCAGCAAAAGCCCAAGCAAACTGCAGAGATTTTCGATTAAGTCTGCCATCTTTATTGGTAAGTGTCGCTTCGCTTGCCCATTCTTATGCGGCGAGACGCGCAATTCGCTGCAAGTTCTTGTTGTTTGTTTTGCTAAGCTCTTTCTGCCGCATGTTTTTATTTTATTGGCGAGCAATAACAAAAGTGCTTAGGAGATGTTCTTGAAGTTTTTTGGTGTGTGTAAGATAAAACTGTTTTGCAACTGTTATCGAATAACTACTCAACACAAACTTACAATTCGCTATTTTTCCAATCAAGAATAGCACCAACAAAAAACTGCAAAATTTCGCTGCTGTAAATTCGCTCTGCATTTATTTTTTTTTTAATTAACACCTTACAACACTTAACATTGTCAAGTGTGGCAGCCTGTCAGGCGAACAAAAAGTGGTGCAAGAATGTCAAATAACATGAGCTTAACATTGACTGAAGTTAACATCACATAACGTTAACGTTGTCTTTCAAAGTTGACGTTGTTCCTTGTTGAATTCGGAGCTCGCTGAATTTCGCTTCAGTTTGAAAACGAATAAAGAAAAAGGAAAATAATAACGAAAGCAAGCAAAACTCCAAACCGTATCTCAAATTTTTCGTAAAATGTTGCCAAATGACCGAAAGATATTAAGGTGCCGGCAACAACAACAACAACATAGAAACATACACAAATTTAATATTTAAAAAAAAACAAATTTTTTCGCACATAGGCAACACGCACGTCAGAATCAAGATCAGATTGCGCGCCGCACAAGTCAAAGACTCAACGCTGGCAAGAACAACAATAACACCAACAACAACAACAGGAAGAAGAATAACAACAGTAACCACAACAAGATGAGCAAAGCGGATCCAATTTCACTGAGCTTTCACGATTCCTGTCTGCGCATGTCCGATGTGCAACTGCTGCACGGACCACGCTGGCTTAACGATCAGGTATGCAATATCTATATATTCCACATATATATATAAAGTTATATATATAATTGAAATGTTGCAGATATTGAGCTTCTACTATGAGTACTTGTCGCATGTGAAGTACAAGAACAACAAGGATGTCTATTTTATAGCGCCCGAGGTGACGCAATGCATGAAATACATGGATGATTCCGAGCTGGAGTTGCTTTTCGAGGAGCATAATGCCAACAATAAATCGTTCATATTTTTTGCCCTGAATGATAATGGAAACACAGAGGCTGGTGGCACACATTGGTCGCTGTTGATGCTGTCGCGTCCGGAGAAGACGTTCTTTCACTTTGACTCGTATGGGAATAATAATACGGGTCCATCGCTGGAGCTGATGAATAAGGTGAAGGAGTTGCTAGGCATGCGCCAGGCCAAGTTTCGTCCGATGCGATGCATGCAGCAGGCGAATGGCTATGATTGTGGCATCCATGTCATCTGCATGACGGATCACATCGCCGACTATGTGAATCGCTATGAGGTGATTGATGGTCTGCCCTCGTTGCACATCGATACGGTCAAGGCGAAGAGAGCGGAGCTGCTCAAGCTGATCCTGTCGCTGGGTGGCAAGGATTAGGATGATTTTCCATCACTTGATATTCTTTGTAGTTTTAAGCAACACACACACAACGAATGATGTGTGTGTTAAACACGACAGCATCTCAGGGATCTTGTGGAATGCAAGAGAGAGAGAGAGATGATAATGATGACAGAGAGAGAGGGAGCTGGATGCAGTCTGATCTTCCAATGAGAATACGATATATATTCATTTTGTTAATTTTATTTTGATTTATTTAATGTTTACTCTTCTTGAGTGCCAGGCACTAAAAACAAAAAAAAAAAAAAAAACGAAAATGATTCTAGCAACATGAGCACAACAAACGCGACAACTAAACATACAAACACTTTTCAAATGGAAAAAAGGTATTTTTTTTTGCTGGTTGGATTTCAACAAAAATAAATATTTGTTTACCCAAAGAATTGCTAAAAATTCTGTTTATTATTGGTTGCATAAATTGTGGGCTCAAATCTCCTATCATATTGACAGTGGCAAGGAAATTATAACTTTAATTTCATTTGAGAAGGTAATCGCTGAAAAGCACATCAACAATTGGATCTACTAATAAACCCTCTTGCCATTTTCGTTTGACTGAACTACTCTGGAGTAGAAATATAAATAGTAAATAAATAAATATATAATATAATCGAAGCGCGCACATTATAACTGTATTGTTAGCCTTACGTACATCAATTTCATAATTCCCGAGATCTTTTTGCCAAGATAGAAGCTCATTTTATTTAATTAGTTCAACGAAAGGCAAATTTTACGAAGAAGGCACAAATAAAATGAATTTTCAGTCTGTTGACCAGGTTCATTGAAAATGGACGCAAGTCGGCTGTTGTCGTCATATCATAATTACGCCCTCATTATTGGCGTCACCTCGTATCGAAGGGTGGCCGGCAGCTATCGCCAGACTTGGCTAACACGCTCCTATGTGCTGCTCCTGAATATATTCGTGATATTGACTCTACCCTATGTATTCTACAGATCTACGCAGCATATCCAGAGGCTCAATTGGTTTCCCAATATAATCTCATACACCACCTATGTGCTCTACTCGGTCTCCTATGTGGCCATTGCCTACACGCTAATCTCCCGTGGCAGTCGGGATAAGGTTCTGCTCGAAGTGGACAGCATTGTGCGCAGATTGAAGTGCTTAAAATCGCGAGAGAATCTCCCTTCATCCACTGAACGCACATGCAACTCTTTGTATTATGTGTTCTATCTGAAGTTGGGCGCAGTTCTCTCCCTGTGCGTGTGCAGCATGATGTCATGCCTGATGCTGCCCTCCGATTTTAAAGTGACTGTCGTTCTCTACGCATTCTTCTTCAGCTGCGCCATGAATATCCCCCTCGTTGCCACCTATCGGTACTATTTGGCTTTATGGGATATTGCCTACTGCTATCAGTACATCAATGGAAAGCTGGAGCATCTGATGAAATGTGTGCGAAACAGATACCCTACACAAGTGGAGCTCGAGGAGTTGCATAGACTTTGGTCACTGCATGCTCTGCTTGGACGTTGTACATTGAAAATTAATCGTGTTTATGGATTGCTAATGTTGACAGCCCGATTTGACAATCTGGTATATTGTGTTGTTAATGGATATTGGGGTATTATATTCACATTCAGCTTTAAAACGCCATTGGGTTTTCTGCTTTATGGCTCAGCCAATTACCTTATTCGCCTTGTGGACTTTTTCCTGTTGAATTTTATGTGCGATCTGACAACTCAATACCAAAATTATGCCTATCATTCAGTTAGCGAGGGATATTGGTTCAAGGAGGTAAGAATTAAATAAGAATTATATTTTCCCTTATACTTATTGCACTCTCGTTTGCAGCTGAATGCATATTTGCTGTATGCGAGCACCTCGAAGCTGAATCTTTGGGTCTGTGGCCTCTATAAGGTGAATCGCAAGTGCTGGTATCAAATGCTGTTATCCATTTTGAATCTCACCATTTTGTTGCTTCAATTTCACTTGGTGTTGAAAAAGAAATTCATTTTGTAGAGCACCTAAATTGCAGTTCGAATGTGTCTCTTGAGAGTCTCCCTTGTCGCAGTAACCAAACTTAACTTTTAATAATTAAAAAATGACTGCAATAGATTTAATTGTGCGTTAATCATTGACTCGATGGGCTGACAAAGATAAAACCATGTTTATTAATTAGCTTAACGAAGCGAAAAAAGGACGAGGGCACAAAAATAAAACTGAGTTCGAGTTTGAATTTCAGTTTCGTGTCAGCTTTCATTGGAAATGGTCGCACCACATTGGATATTGTGGTTACATCACAACTACGCCCTGTTCTTGGGAGTCACCTCGCAACGGTGGATCTCTGAAGGATTGAAGCAGACTTGGCTAACTCGCTCCTATGCAATGCTCATCAATGTCATTCAGCTGCTGGGATTACCCTATGCCTTGTGGATAACAGCTCAGCATATGATTAAAGTTAACTTCTTCCCCGATCAAATTCCGTTCGCCAGCTATATACTCTTTTCGGCATCCTATCTGTCTATAGCCCATACCCAGATATCGCGAGGAAGTCGGGATAAGGCTCTGCTCGAGATGGATCTCATTGTGAGCCGATTTAAGCGATTGAAGTCGAGGGAGAGAATCGTATCAACTGAGCTCATTAACGGTTCTTTAAGCTATCTGTTCTATTTCAAATTGGTCACTATGACTTACATGTGTGTGTGTAGCACGATGACAGTCGTGCTGTCGCCCAGTAGCAACAATTGGAACACAGTTTGTTGCATTTTCTTCTTCAACATCTCCTCGACCATTCCCCTAATCGCCATCTATCGTTACTTTTTGGCACTATGGGATATTGCCTGCTGCTATCAGTATATCAATGGAAAGCTGGAGCATCTCATGAACTGTGTGCAAAACAGATACCCTACACAAGTGGAACTGGACGAGTTGCATAGACTATGGTCTTTACATGCTCTACTCGGACGCAGTACCCTCAAATTTAATCGTACTTATGGACTGCTAATGTTGACAGCCCGATTTGAAAATCTGGCATTTAGTGCAGTAAATGGATATTGGGGAATAGTCTTCATCTTCAGCTATAAGCGACAGTTCTCTGCGATCCTTTATGGCTTCTTTAATTATAGTATGCTTCTTGTGGACTTTTTCCTGTTGAATTTTATGTGCGATCTGACAACTCAATACCAAAATTATGCCTATCATTCAGTTAGCGAGGGATATTGGTTCAAGGAGGTAAGAATTAAATAATAATTATATTTTCCCTTATACTTATTGCACTCTCGTTTGCAGCTGAATGCGTATTTGCTGTATGCGAGCACCTCGAAGCTGAATCTCTGGGTCTGTGGCCTCTATAAGCTGAATCGCAAGTGCTGGTATCAAATGCTGTTATCCATTTTGAATTTATTAATTTTATTGCTGCAATTTCATTTGCTGTTGAAAAAGAAATTCACTTTGTATAGCACCTAAATCACAAGAATAACATCTAAGGTCTAATGAATACAATAGTTCTAGTTTTTCATTAATGATGGGCTGTCCAAGATAAAACCCCGCCTATTAATTAGCTTAACGAAGCGAAATATGGGCGAGAGCACAAAATAAAACTGGGTTTCAGTTCCGCGTCAGCTTTCATTAGAAATGGTCACACCACATTGGATATTGTGGTTATATCACAACTACGCCCTGGTCTTGGGAATCACCTCGCTTCGATGGATCTCCGGAGAAGGATTGAAGCAGACTAATCTAACTCGCTTCTATGCCCTGATCCTCAATATTGTTGAGCTGCTGACGGTGCCCTACTTTATGTGGATAACAATGGGATATATAAATAAAGCCAAGTGGTTTCCCGATCAACTTCCATATGCCACCCAAGTATTGTTCTCGGTCTCCTATGTGGCCATTGCCCATACGATAATCTCCCGCGGCAGTCGGGATGAGGCTCTGCTTGAGGTGGACAGCATTGTGAACAGATTGAAGTGCTTAAAATCGGAAAAGAATCGCCTTTCATCAACTTGCGACTCTATGAGTTATGTGTTCTATCTGAAAATGGGTGCTGTGATTTATATGTGTGTGTACGGCATGACGTCATGCCTGCTGGTGTTGAGGGAGAAGAATTTGCTTCTTTTTCTTCAAATATTTGTGTTTGGCACCGCCTTGAATTTCTCCCTAATCGCCATCTATCGTTACTTTTTGGCACTATGGGATATTGCCTGCTGCTATCAGTATATCAAGGGAAAGCTGGAGCATCTCATGAACTGTGTGCGAAACAGATACCCTACACAAGTGGAGTTGGAGGAGTTGCATCGGCTGTGGTCTCTACATGCTCTACTCGGACGCAGTACCCTCAAATTTAATCGTACTCATGGACTGCTAATGTTGACAGCCCGATTTGAAAATCTGGCATTTAGTGCAGTAAATGGATATTGGGGAATAGTCTTCATCTTCAGCTATAAGCGACTGCGATCCTTTATGGCTTCTTTAATTATAGTATGCTTCTTGTGGACTTTTTCCTGTTGAATTTTATGTGCGATCTGACAACTCAATACCAAAATTATGCCTATCATTCAGTTAGCGAGGGATATTGGTTCAAGGAGGTAAGAATTAAATAATAATTGTATTTTCATTTATTCTTATTGCACTCTCGTTTGCAGCTGAATGCGTATTTGCTGTATGCGAGCACCTCGAAGCTGAATCTCTGGGTCTGTGGCCTCTATAAGGTGAATCGCAAGTGCTGGTATCAAATGCTGTTATCCATTTTGAATTTATTAATTTTATTGCTGCAATTTCATTTGCTGTTGAGAAAGAAATTCACTTTGGATAGCACCTAAATCACAAGAATAACATATAAGGTCTAATGAATACAATAGTTCTAGTTTTTCTTGAACTCGATGGGCTGTCCAAGATAAAACCACTCCTATTAATTAGCTTAACGAAGCGAAAAAAGGACGAGGGCACAAAATAAACCTGGGTTTCAGTTCCGCGTCAGCTTTCATTGAAAATGGTCGCACCACATTGGATATTGTGGTTATATGAGAACTACGCCCTGGTCTTGGGAGTCACATCGAATCGACGGATCTATGGAGGAAGATTGAGGCAGACTTGTCTAACTCGCTCCTATGCCCTGATCCTCAACATTGTCGTGCTGCTGACGGTGCCTTACTTTATGTGGACAACAATGGAATATATGAATACAGTCAGGTGGTTTCCCAATCGAATTCCATATGCCACCCATATATTCTATTCGGTTTGCTATGTGGCCATTGCCTATACGCTAATCTCCCGTAACAGTCGGGATAAGGCTCTGCTTGAGGTGGACATCCTTGTGAGAAGATTAAAGCGATTAAAGCCGAGGGAGGGAATTGTATCAGCGGAACGCATTAACGGTTCTTTAAGCTATCTGTTCTATATCAAATTGATCACTGTGACTTATATGTGTATGTGCAACATATCGTCATGTTTGATGATGCTCACTGACAGCAATTTGGACATAGTTTATTGCACCTTTTTTGTTAACATCTCCTTGACAATTCCGCTTGTCGCCATCTATCGTTACTTTTTGGCACTATGGGATATTGCCTGCTGCTATCAGTATATCAAGGGAAAGCTGGAGCATCTCATGAACTGTGTGCGAAACAGATACCCTACACAAGTGGAGTTAGAGGAGTTGCATCGGCTGTGGTCTCTACATGCTCTACTCGGACGCAGTACCCTCAAATTTAATCGTACTTATGGACTTCTAATGTTGACAGCCCGATTTGAAAATCTGGCATTTAGTGTACTAAATTGTTATTGGGGTATTCTGCTTATCGTCACCGCGGAAGCGCCGATTGTTGTGCTCTTTTATGGCTCAACTCATTACTTTATTCGTCTTTTGGACTTTTTCCTATTGAATTTTATGTGCGATCTGACAACTCAATACCAAAATTGTGCATATCATTCAGTTAGCGAGGGATATTGGTTCAAGGAGGTAAGAATTAAATAAGAATTATATTTTTCTTTATACTTATTGAACTCTCGTTTGCAGCTGAATGCGTATTTGCTGTATGCGAGCACCTCGAAGCTGAATCTCTGGGTCTGTGGCCTCTATAAGGTGAATCGCAAGTGCTGGTATCAATTGCTGTTATCCATTTTGAATCTCACCATTTTGTTGCTGCAATTTCACTTGGTGTTGAAAAAGAAATTCATTTTGTAGAGAACCTAAATTACGATTCGACTGTCTCTCTTGAGGGTCTCTCTTATCGCAATAACGAAACTTTCATTTCTGAATTAAATAATGTATACAATGGCTTTAATTTAACTCGATGGACTGTCCCAGATAGCCGCCACATTTGTTAATTAACGTAACGAAGCGAAAAAAGGACGCGGGCACAAACTAAAACTGAGTTTCAGATTAAGCTGCACCACATTGGATATATCATAGCTACGCTCTGGTCTTGGGAGTCACGATCGATGGGTCTATGGTGGAGGATTGAGGCAGACTTGACTATTTATTTTTTGTGTTTTTATCGATTAACCCTGCAACTATAACAAGCACATCAAACAGGTTTCGATTAGATTTTGCCGCCCAGGAACAAGATCAGATTGAGCAGCTCAGACCGCTTGCCCATCACCAGCTCCACGGGTAACGTGGGCAATCCCTCGAGGAAACCATAGCGATTCAGATGATCGACAATGTGATCTGTCGTGCAGATGACATGGATGCCACAATCGAAGCCATTGGCCTGCTGCAGACAGTTCATTGCACGGAAGCGCGTCTGTTGCATGCCCAAACCATATTTCACCTTGTTCATCAGCCGCCTCGAAGCACGCACATTGCTATTGCCACACGAATCGAAGTGAAAGAACGTTTGCTGTGGCAGCGACAGCACGAGGAGTGACCAATGTGTGCCACCCTCTGACGAGGACTCATTGTCATTCAGTGCGAAGAACATGAATCGTTTGCGATACGCATTCTGTTTCTCGAAGAGCAACTCCAGCTCGGAATCATCCATGTATTTCATGCATTGCGTCACCTCGGGCGCTATAAAATAGACATCCTTGTTGTTCTTGTACTTCACATGCGACAAGTACTCATAGTAGAAGCTCAATATCTGTGAGTTATTATATTTTTATATATTATATATCAATATATTTACAAAGAGAAACTAAAGACATTTATCAGCAGTTCCTGTAATGTACTGTAATGGATGCCGATGTTCTCTTCTACGTTTAGTATTTGGAAAATTATAGTTTTTTAAATCATTTTCAGATGAGAAACAATTCATTTGTTGCTTGGCAGAATGTAATTTTACTTCATTGTGAAGATTTTGCAGAAGTCTCGATTTTTAGCACAATAAAATGTGACATATTTTAATTAAATGCTTTGAACATCAGCACTACTTTTACTTTGCCAGCAACAGTATATATAAGTCTTTTAGTTCCATACCTGATCACTCAGCCAGAAGGGTCCTTGCAACAGGTGCACATCGGACATGCGCAGACAGGAATCGTGAAAGATCATCGATATGGGATCTTTTTTGTTCATATTGTTGTTGTTGTTGTGTGTGGTTGGTGCACTGTTTGATTTTGATTTTGTTATTAAGCATACAAGTCTTTCCTGTATTTTGCAGCCATTAAATCTTGCTGTCATTTAAAAATATTTCACTAGAAATTTGTACTTTGTTCGTCTGGAGTTTAACATTGACTCAAAATTCAACGACTCCGAATACTGGCAATGTTAGTTAAGGCCATGTTATGTTAAGCTGAATGTTATTTAACATTATACTTTTAACTACTTAATCCGAAGTCTTTTAAAATTCTGCTTTATTTTTTCCCTTTTTTTTTAACAATATTTATTTGTTTTAAATGCAAAATCAAATGTTATGAGCTTACACATTATATCTAATATTATGATTAAGAACATAGATTGTATACAAAAGTTAGACAGTATAAATAGCAATTAAAACGACATCGAAATTTTGATTTTACGAGGCACTAAAAATGTTGTACATTTTCTAAATATGTATATATTTGTGGGACTTTTCACACACAACAATTACAAATTATACACACTACAATTTATAATTTAGTGGGATAGTTGTTGTTAAATTGATTTTTGCTTTGGTGGGTTAATTGCGGGGCCCCCGAATACAATAATTACTAATAAGCTAGGATACATTTATACACCTAAATGTGTATGATTGGGTATATATATATATATACATATATATTTATATATATATATATACATATATATTTATATATATAGTGTAATCCTCCTCACAATTGGACCTCGGGACGCGTCCAGCCGCCAAAGGCACGCTCCAGCTCCTCGGCGACGGCCAGACACAAGCGATCCTCATTGAAATTGGCAATAACTTGGACACCCAACGGCAATCCTTCGCTGCCCAGACCAAGTGGCACAGCTGTCGCTGGGAAACCCAACACATTCACAATGCCCGTGTAGGAGAAGTTAATCGGACGCACGATGGGCTCGTTATGATAGGGTGCCACCGTAGGATGTGTGGGATAGATGAGGACACCATTATCACCCAGCAGCTGTTGCAATGTGGCACGCAACTCATCCCGCTTGGCCACCAGATGTTTGTACTTGGACGAGCCATGCTGACACTGCGCATTGTCCATCAGTGCAGTTGTCAGGCCAATAAATGTGTGCTTCGAGGCGCCCACAAACCACTTGAGCAGCTCCAGATGTGTGTTGATGTCGTAGCGTAAATCACCCAGTTGGAAACTGAAGCCATGGCCGGAATTGTCACGCATATTCGCAAACCAAATGGCAGCCGATTGACGCATTTGTGGCAATTGAACGCGTTCCACTTGCCCATCGCCAAACTTCTTGTTCAGATGCTCGACAATGCGACGCATGGCCACCTTCAGATCCGTATCGACGTCAGAGACCAGCCGACCACCGCCATCCGACTCCTGATAGAAGAACTTTAGCTTCTCCAGTGCAACGGGTTCGTTGAGACGCAACAGCTTCGCCTGCTCACCGGCCATAATCTGGAGCATGGGTCGCAAATCCTCGGCAAACCGAGACATTGGTCCCAGACCCAAAAACGTGTTCTGCTCGGCACTGAACGGTGTGGGAAACTGGCCCTTATTCGAGACAATCAGTTTGCTGGGCTTGTGGCCGAAGATGCCATTGAAGAAGGCCGGCATCCGTATGGATCCACCAATATCGGAGCCCAGACCAAACGGTGAAGCGGCTGCGGATTGAACACAACCCTCGCCGCCGCTGGAGCCGCCAACAATGCGATTCGTGTCGTAGGCATTCCGTGTCCTGCCGTGCACCGTATTATTGCTCTCCCACCACATGCACACCTCTGAGACATTGGTCAGCGCAAAGGGAATCGCTCCAGCCTGGCGCATCAATGCCATCGCATCCGCATCCTGCTCCGCACGCACTTCCCGACGCACATACAAGCCAGACGTGTGCAGCATGCCTGCCAGAACGATATTAATAAGTTATAGTTCAGCTTATATTTAAACTGGATTGCAGAAGCTACAGGGTATCTTAGCTACACTCAAATAATTGTCCTGAAAACTGGGAAGTTATTCTTGTTTTCTTTTTTTAAATAAGGTATTTGTTGTGTTTAGCAAGTGTCGTTGGAAGTTGAAAACATACCCTTCACTGAAATACAATCCTTTGTTGTAATGGGCACGCCCAAGAATGGCTGCTGTTTGGCCAGTTGCTCCGAGGTATATTTGCCAGATTTGATGAGTTCATCCGCTGCAGTTGCCTCTTTGAGTGCCTCATCGTAGCGCTCATCGACGACACAGTTGAGCAAAGGATTCACTTCCTTGACACGCCGGATAAACGACTCCAAAACCTGAACGCTGCTGAGCTGTAAAATAAAATAAGAAAGAAATTAGAGTAGGAAATAAAGTTTTTTTTTTTCACTTACTTGTTGATTGCGAATTTTGGCTGCCAATGCTGTAGCAGATTCAAGCAGAATGGGATCCGTAATGGGCGGCATTTTTTCACCTCTCGCCCCATAAATTAAGCGGAAGAAGAAACGAAAGCAGGCCTGCAACAGGTTAAAGAAAAAGGCACCCAATTTCCGGCTTAGTGGAACGCGGCTCGCCTCCGTCAACTGCTTGTACGCCATGGTGTTATTCTGATATGGAATGTGTATGTATATATATTTTTATATATATATATTTATATTTATTTCTGTTAGCAGTGGATATTTATTATTATTGTGTTCCCCTTGCTCTGGCCCATGTGTTGTCTTCGACTGCAAAAAGGAAACAAAGCGAAAATCAAATTCAGCAAAACTAAAGAAATCTTATGAGCAGTAAAGTGTTTTTGTGGCAATCTTGTGTAAACAATTCCATAAACACAAATATTCCATATGTGTATATAAAAAATATATATATACTTATATAGATATAGTATCTGTTTTATCTGGTTATGATTATATATTAAGCCAACAGAGCATTTACAGCTTTTTAACATACATACGTTCAACGTTAAGCTAACAGAGCATTTACATCTGCTTAACAGTGTATAGAAACTTTCAAATATATTTCAAATACAACTCGAAAATGTATTGCAGCTTTAGCAGCTATATTATCTCTGAACCCGGAAATATTAAAGTCTTTTGTCAACTATAAACTGATCAACTGATCAAGCGTTATACAACTATAATTTATCTGTATAGCAAGCGGTTTTTTTATAGACTGAATTCCTGCTTATAATTGCCCATTAGAGCTGCATATAAATGAACAATCGTATGCACTTATTTATAGCTAAATGGATAGCAAGAATATTAAATAGATTTTTGAAATGCGAAAACAAATTGCTCAACGCACGCTGGATAAAGAAAAATAAAAATATCAACAACAGCAGAAGAAGAAACATTGCTCTAAGGCCTTCAATTGTTAACAGCCCACTTAAAAACCACCACGTTCCTCACACACACACACACATAGAAATATATATATGTTTGTGTGTGTAAAATGGATCGCTAAACAATACGCGTGAGTCATGACAATGTTTATCAAGTTTACGACGTCTGAAATTTGTAACATGACTAAACAGCCAGCCAGCAACGGATAACGGATATCGGATAGGAGAGGCGCCAACTATCAAACGATTTTCGCAAAAAATAAACAAATAAATCATAATAGATTAGTTATTGAGTGTGCTTGATCGACGGCCAAGTACCCCTTAACACATTTAATGCACTCCATTTTATAATGCATTTAATTATAATTGTAATTAATTATATGATAATTATTGTTTAGAAGTGGCTTGCTTGACTCAAGCACTCCTTGTATTCTACAAGTGTGCAATGTCCATTTCGCCATTAAATTTACAACTGCCTTTGTTTGTGGATAATTAAAAAAAAACGAATATTTTGAGCTTAATATATAGTGGATTATTGATAATGTAGGTATTTGGCTTTTTAAGTGGACATAGATCTGAGATAAGCACAACAACACAAAAAATCAAACACAACGGACAAGGTTCATCATACGCATATCTATACAGATTATTATTTTTGTTGCCATATGCAGAGCTGTAATCGTATTTCTTTATCTTATCGTCTACCGAGGTTTAACTTAGCAGAGCAACCAAAGTCAACGGCACAGTACGAAGAGTTAACAGTCAATAGTACAAACAAGCAAAAAATAAAAATAAATAAATATAGGAAATTCAACAGCAACGATTTGATGTGTTTGAAACGATAACAAATGAGTCATTGACTCACATAGTTTACGATACGTAGCAGCTGCAGTTGTCATGCCTCAAAAGCAACAAATGAAACTAATCATAATATTTAACATTGAGCATGCGTAACAAAGCAATCTATATTGAACATGTTTTAAATAAAATATACAGGGTATTTTCACGCGTCTGCATTCGAAAGGATTAACTCAAAGCTTTCGCTCTCTCTGTCTCTCTCGCTCGCTCTCACTGCAAGTGAGCAAGTCTCCGTCAAGTTGAAGGTCGCCGGCTGAGTTTTTGTCTTGTTCTCTTTGCTCTCTTTATTCTTATCTCGTTTTGCGTAGTTTTGTCTGTCACTGCCATGACTTGAAACATGTCCATTGTTGTTGTTGTCACACTTTTTCAGATGTTGGAAGCATATCGCAATTTTGTTGAAGCAATGTTTGTTTTCTTAATAAGTTTAATTGAATTGCCAGTCTTGGGAAATGGGCCCGCATCAATTTACACATGGCAACAAATAAGTTGAGCAAACACATACAAGCACATATGTATAAAGAAATCAACAATAAATAGTCGTATTAGACAAGTTCAAAATATTATCATTGCCAGCATAATGGGCAAAGAAAAACGGATTGTTGGAAACGATAAGATTGCCGACAAAATGAGCAATTTGAAATTTGGGAGTAATTTGCATCTACGATTGTGATTTATGAAAGGCGCGTTTTACAACATTATTATTAACACTTGTTGCATGTGTGAAGGAAGGAAGAGAGCGAGAGAGAGAGAGAGGGTGAGAGCTTTTAACTTTGCGTGCCAAAGAGAAATAAAATGTGAATTTGCGTGCGTAGCTAATTAATTGTCCAGTTCGTAAAACAGCGAGATGGGGTGGGAGCAAAAGTGAAATGAATAACTGTCTGTGTGGGAGTGTTTGTGTGGCGGAAAGGTGGCAGAAAGCAAACGAAACGACCGGCAAGCTGAATTCTGAAAGAATGGCCAATGACGTCATGCAATAAAAGAAATATGTTTCCAATAAGAATTATACATTTCAATGCCATATGTAATATAACAGGAACTACGATAATAATCTGCCGTCGTTAAGGTCAGCTGCAGCAATGCACACACACACAGCACCAAACACACACATATACACAACTGCTGTTTAAGTTGTCATAATTATGTATTGCATAAAAACATTAGATTTCGCACGCTGTTCAAATGGGAACCGGTTCAACTAAAGCGCCAATTTATACTTATCATTCGATTCTACACTCTACATACACGCTCACACACACGACACACACATAAATAGACACACACTTGTTTGACAAGAGCACACAATTTCCTAGATTTGAGGTAATAGCTATTGGAAATGCATACACAGGAAAATTAGATACAAATCAGACACATCGCGTGTAAGAATTTTTACCCGCAAAAACGCAATGATCCAATCAGCTGACCGACTCGTTGTAAACTGAACAAATTGCCGCTCGCTTGCCAGCAGGCACTTGAGTGTAGGCCAGTATGCATCTCACTTGAAATGTTAATAAAATGTTGATGCTTGATGAAATAAACAAAAGCGATTGCTGATTTATATAATTAAATAATATATGTAATGAAATGATATTATAAATATATATTAAGGTTTATTATTATTACACAAGATTTTATTTTATCTATTTTGTAAATATTAGTTTTAGCCGCTGTATCGATGGCATAAACAGCTGTTTAACAGCAGTAATCGATATGCGCCATTGATCAGCTGTTTCAGCTTGCAAACAATAACAATTAAAAATATGGGCGATTCCACTCTAAAACTACCAGGAGCAGCGGCAGCTCCACTCAAACCACCTGCTGTAGCAGCTTTATCCGTGAGCAGCCTGCAGCTGCCCAGTTCAGCGCCTCAGAAATTAACATCCGCTGCCAGCAATGGCAATGTCTCTGGTTCGGCAACAGGTAATCCTCGTAATAAATGCGCCCTCAAACCGGGCTATTCCCTGATGAGCTGGATACGCTTGTGCAATTCGGGTGCGGATCTTTCAGGCACGGCGGGTCGTGTTGTGCCCGTGAGCAGAACGGAGCTGGCCCGGCACAATCAGGTGAATGATGCCTGGATGGCAATAAGAGGCAAGGTTTTCAATGTGACACGCTACATGGACTATCATCCGGGCGGAGTGGATGAACTGATGCGTGGCGTTGGACGCGATGCCACCAAACTATTCGATGAGGTGCACGCCTGGGTAAACTATCCCCAGTTGCTGGGCAAGTGTTATGTGGGTCCACTCAAGGACACAGTGGCCAGCAAAAAGGCAACAGACGCGGAGCTCCTTCGACTGCCGCCGCCGTCGGCTCCAGCGGAGCTAAAGCCACGCTTCGATTGGATACAACAGCGACGGGAATTGACGCTCTATTTTTATACGCGTCGCTGGGCCAATCCTGGTGTACTCCTTAAGCGCAAAACGGCTGAGGAGCTGGAGGTGCGTGTGCAGCTGGCAGAGATTTGGCATCTCTACAACTTTAAGCTCCATAGTGGCATCATTTGGCCACCAAAAGCTTTACGTGTGAGTCCAGAAACTGGAAAAATTGAACTGGTGCTCAGCAAGCAAGAGGAGCAGCCTTGGAGTAGCTATGGCAGCCATGAGGCCAGCAAGACGAGCGGAGCGCCGGAGGAGGAGCTTTTGGATTTCATGGTGCAGCACTGCAGCCACTTTAATCACGACTCGTTTGAGCTGTGTTTGGAGAGCGTTGAGCAAGAGTTGCTGCTCCATCTGCCAGTTGGCTATCACCTCGATATTGAGGTGCCCCATAATGGAGAGCGAGTGCAGCGCAGCTATACACCAGTGCCACACAACTGCCTGCTGGCTGAGGCATACTCATCCTCATCCTCTCCAAACAGTCAACGATTTCTCATCAAGCACTATGAAAACGGCATCGTTTCTAGTCAACTAAATCAACTTGAAAGCGGTGGCAATTTGCAATTGACCCTGCCACGTGGCAACTTTAATTTAGCCCAGCTGGAGGCACATCGTCATATTCTGCTCTTGGCCGCTGGCAGTGGTCTGACGCCCATGCTGAGCCTGCTACGACCGCTGCTCGAGCGGCACACAAATCGAATGTGAGTTGCTCTTAAATTAAATTAAATTCTAATATTTTTTTTAAATATTTCATATTTATATTTATATACCCACAGTGAACGCCTGCAGCTGCTGTACTTTAACAAAACCCAAGCGGACATTTGGTGGAAGGATAAACTGCTTGCCTTGCAGTCCAGCGATGAACGTTTCCTTTGCCAGCACATTTTGTCCCAGGAGGTCGAGGAACAGCCTCCAACTCCAAATCAAAATACTCGCATTTGTCCGGAGCTGTTGGCGCCACTGTTTGAGCAGCAGCAGCCGCTGGGCGAACGTTTCAGCTATGTGGCTATTTGTGGACCTACTGGTTTCAATACAGCTGCCCTGGACTCCTTGAGGAGATTAGAATTTAAGCTGACGAATGTGCATGTTTTTCAAGGCTAAAAATTAAGTATTTGTTTATATTAGTTTACAGTGGCATAACAGAATCGTTGGCAACAGCCGTTTAACAGCGATTATCGATAAGTGATTTCGATTACAGCTGTTGAGCCGCCAAACAATAACATTTAAATTAGGTATTTGTTTATCCGGATTTTTCTGCATATATTTGTTTTGCTTGCAGGTTAATCAAAAATTATTTTTTTTTTTCATTTTTAGCACATTGTTTTTTATTTAGTTTTTATTATATATATTTTTTTACATATTTTTCTTTCAATAATTTAATAAGTTTAACAAATACTAAAAATTGTTATTCCTGAAGTTTTTTTTTTTTGTTGTTTTTGTTGATTTTTATACAGAAAACGCGTCGTTGCCACTGTCGCAAATTCCATTTGACTAAAATTCGCACAAAAATGTCGTTTTAGGATTGAAGTTTAAACAATATCAAATAACATTGTAAAATATATATGATTTGTATAATTATTGTGGAGAGCGTTGGTAAGCGTACAAATTCAAAATATATAGATATATATATGTATATATATCAATTATTAAACATTGTTCATTTTGGGTACATCAAATCGGAGAAAGCGACAGCAAACGAGTTGAAAAGGATTTGTTTTAAGTATTGCAGCACTTCAATTTGCGACTTGAATTTTCAACAGACACCGACAGACACAGCAGTTAAGTAAACTCGCGAGTGTGTATGTGTGAGAGTGTAAGTGTGTGTGTGTATGTGTGTGTGTGTAGTTGTTAGCCATTGGTTTAATAGGAGCGAATTGCTGGCGGCACCGTTTCCACCTCCTGATCGAGCGTTGAATCGATGACAGGTCTGTATTTGAGGTCGATATCACCCTGCTCGTTGGTAACCCAGGCTAGGGTATGCTTGCGCCAGTGCTGCTCAACGGGCTTCTTCGTTTGGCCATCCACGGGCTTGCTGTAATCCTGCATAATTGGTAAAAGATAAATATTTATTGTAGTTATGTAGTTAACAGCTGCAGAACTAAAGACTGTAATAACAAACGTAACATAACATATACAGCACTGTACATAACATACGATACCGATATCGATAACTGCTTACAGTAGATGAGTTCAAATTGTGTGTTTGCAACGATGATTCAAATTTAAATTTTCAACTCACATATTCATCGATGCGCGTCTTGAAATCTTCGCGAGCATGTGCGCCACGCGACTCCTTGCGCGCCTCGGCGCCAACAATGGTCATCTGTGCATTGGCCAGCAGATTCTGCAGCTCCAGTGTCTCAATCAGATCCGAGTTCCACACAAGCGATCTACAATGTAATTGATTAACATCTGATATTTATATACATATAATATTTAGAGCATTTCTACGCACTTGTCGATCACTTTGACGTCCTGGAATTGCTTGTAGATCTTTTTCATTTCTGCGACGCCCTTTTGGAGGATGGGTCCATCGCGGAATACGGCGGCATGGTTCTGCATGCAACGCTGCATCTTGAGGCGCAGATCGGCTGTGCTTATTTGACCATTGGCATGGCGCAACTTATCCAAATTGGCCACCGAGAACTCGCCGGCATTCTGCAATGGAATTGGAAATGAATTGGATTTCTAATTGAAGCTCATATTAGTTTAGACTTACATCCTTGATCGTTGGCGCCGGTGCACCGGGTTTGTTCTCCTCGGCAATGGTTTTTGCGCAGGCACGTCCAAAGACAACCAGATCCAGCAGGGAATTGGCACCCAAACGATTGGCACCATGCACCGAGCTGCAGGCAGCCTCACCGGCAGCATACAAACCAGGCACAATTTTATCTTCACCGTTCGCACCGATGGTGAGCACCTGGCCACGATAGTTGGTGGGTATGCCACCCATATTGTAATGGACCGTGGGCAGCACAGGAATCGGTTCACGGGTCACATCCACACCGGCAAAGATCATGGCCGTCTCGGAGATGCCGGGCAAACGTTCCGCCAGCTGTTTGGGTGGCAAATGATGCAGTTGCAAGAAGACATGATCCTTATCGGGTCCAACGCCACGACCCTCCATAATCTCAATAGTAATCGAGCGTGAGACGACGTCACGAGAGGCCAAATCCTTGGCAACTGGCGCATAGCGTTCCATGAAGCGTTCACCCTTCGAATTGATGAGATAACCGCCCTCACCACGGCAACCCTCGGTAATCAGACAGCCAGCTCCATAAATGCCCGTCGGATGGAACTGGACAAATTCCAAATCCTGCGAGGGCAGACCTTGACGGGCCACAAGAGCAGTACCATCACCGGTGCACGTATGCGCCGAGGTGCACGAGAAGAAGGCGCGTCCATAGCCACCGGTAGCAATTACCGTATTCTGTGCACGGAACCTATGCAAACTGCCATCCTCCAGATTAATGGCCAAAACGCCACGACACTCGCCCTCCTCAAAGATTAGATCCAGCGCGAAATACTCGACAAAATAATTGCAATCGTAACTGAGGGATTGACCGTAGAGGGTGTGCAACAGGGAGTGACCTGTGCGATCGGCGACGGCACAACATCTGTGCGCCTGTCCACCCTTGCCAAACTTCAGACTCTGACCGCCAAACGCACGCTGATAGATCTTGCCGTCCTGGGTGCGGGAGAAGGGCATGCCGTAGTTCTCCAGCTCGATGACGGCCTTGGGCGCCTCGCGTGTCATATAATGGATGGCATCCTGATCGCCCAGCCAATCGCTACCCTTCACCGTATCGTACATATGCCATTTCCAATCGTCCTGCTCCATATTACCCAGTGCCGCATTAATGCCGCCCTGGGCGGCTATCGTATGTGAACGTGTTGGGAATAGTTTCGTGATGACAGCCGTGCGAAAGCCTTCGGCGACCAATCCGAATGCAGCACGCAATCCTGAACCGCCGGCGCCGACAACGATTGCATCGTAAGCATGATCGATAACCGGATATTGCTTGGAGATCGCATCCGGATTGGCGGATTTCGTCTGCTGCTGCTGGCCGGGCGTTATGTGATAGCTGCGCTGCTGCGACTGCGTCGATGCGGCAATTGTTGCCACACGCTGCTGCAATTTGACAAATTGTACAAACTTGATTAGTTTCAATTACGAGAGATTTTCTACTACTATGTTTTAAAGTTTGACAGGTCTTATGACTGTCTAATATATTGTATAATTGTTTTCCTTATTTTTTGCTTATTCGCTAATCAAGCTAATAAAAAATAATTATATTCTATAACTACTAATCAAAAGAGTAGCAAAACTTTATATCAAGCCAAAATGTGCCTATGTAGCTAAAGTATACACGGCAACACTTATTCATATAGAGTGGCAAATTATAGTTTTAACTGCGAGAGATAAGTACACACAAGATATTTACTCCCCTAATGCATGATGAGAAAGCACAGTAAGCACTTAAAAGATTGTATAGTCGTTTCTTCTCGTTTTGTTTTGTGTTTTAATAAACACAATGTACTCTTTCACTGCAGCTCGCTCTTAGTCCAACTTTATCTGCATCATAACTGTGCCAATTTTATGTAAGAACGGCAACACTTAACTTATTTTGGCAATATATACAGTGTTAACATAAAAGTAGCAAAACTTTATCGCATGACTGAGTCTTAGTTTATTTATGTATACACGGCAACACTTATTTAGACAACTTGACTAATTGCAAGTTGATTAATTTCAATTGCGTGATAAGCACGCAAAAGATCATAATAATATATAATGCTAAAAGCGGCTTCAGGTTTTATAATTGTTTTTCTTTATTCCATAATCAAGGTAATAAACAATAAATATACCTATATAAATGCAGCTGGTTTCTAGTCAAAAGAGTAGTAAGAGTTAGTACCCAGTCTACAATATGTATTTTGTGTACACACAGCAACACTAAATTTATTTTGACAATTCGACAAATTGCAAGTTGATTAGTTTCAATTTCCAGAGATAAGCACGCACAAGATCATAATAATATATATGTATGTACAATACTAAAGCAATTTACTTTTCTATTGCATGTCAGGTTTGATGATTGCGGAATTGTTTTTTGCCCTAATCAAGCTAACAAATACAATAAATATGTTATATAACTGTTAGTCAAAAGAGTAGGAATAATTTGGCCTAAGCTTAATTGTGCAAAATATGTTTAGTGCTTATATGCACAGCTGGCCATTTTAATCAAGAGCAGCAAAACTTAATCCCACGCCTAACTGTGCTTTAGTTATTAAAGTATGTTGTAGTGCATGTATTTTATCTAAACACGGCAACACTTAACTTATTTTGGCAATTTGCACAGTTAGGCGCGTGTCAATACATATAGATTTTAATACATCAAATGCGATAAGATGACTTTCGCTTTATTTTGTTTTGCCCAAATGTTTCCATTAACACATGCACAATTCTACATGACACACACGCTACACTCACATTTGAATATGTATGTGTGCATGTGCAGTATACAGAGAGAGAGAGAGAGAAGAGAGAGCCGCTCACATCTGGGAATATTTGCGATTTGTGTTACCTTACTTATTATTAGCGTAAAGCGGCGCTTTTGAAAAACGCACCGACCACAAGCAATTCGATGGGTTATGTAATAGTAATAGTAAGTAGTAGTTGTAGTAGTTGGCATCAGCATTAGATCAGATCAGTTATTTTTTTCCAATTGTATAATCAGCTGTAGAACAGCAGACGCGCCTCTCTTCCACACTTGGGCATTTGTGTGGAATGTTGTCTGGGGGCCTTATCAGCTAAGGCAGGCGCATTAGTAGCACATTAGTGGGAAACACTGACACAAAGATTAGCACAAACTTTTTTTTCGGCTGCCCAAAACTAGTTGAATAGAGCGAGGGGACGGGGGAATCGCAGCGGGTGTGTTTGTCTACGTGCAACATAACCTCTGATAGTCAGCTTATTGCTTACTGCACTTTTGCCCTCAATGGTTCTGTTAATGACGACACAGATGCAGTCAATTATTGCATGAGTTCAGTTTACGCAATGTTGCTGTTGCTGATTCTGCTGTTTCCATATCGTGAGGTACAAAATTTATCAAATTACATAACACTGCCAGCGGTAGCGGAATTTTTTTTGTCGGGCGCTTCTTGTTGGGTTTTTTGTTTGCTCAAAGAACGACAGCTTATTTGAGTGGAGTTGGTTATTTAGTCACACTAATGGACATCTTCGTCGATTGCATTATTATTATTTGTTGTGGGGACCGACCTGGCTACCTACCATGGAGTTGACCGCATTTTTGGCCAAAATCGATGGCACTCGCGTAATTTTGTACATTTTGTAGGCTGTTCTTGCTGGGTCTGCAATGAAAGATGCACTTTAGATGAATTTAATTAGAACGCGCGCCACACGGTTGAGTTACAATTGATTAGAATAGAAAACGAAAACCAGTACGTGTTTGTGCCAATGTGATTAAAATGAAAAGTTTACAAACTTTTAAAAGTTATATGTCGACTGCAGTGTGGCCCGAGTTAGGAAAACTGGTAAATACATTCGATAACAGGGTTGCATTAAATCATCGCACGCGTTGCGCTTATCGATATTTTGTATGTCAGCTGTTTGAAACAATAATAAATGCCTTGCGTATAAGATTTATCACTCTCCCCAAGCTCATTATTAAGAGTTCTAAGCGTTTACCACTATAACAATGCTTATAAATATAGAAAAATAGCAATAAATGCAGAAATAAATCAACAGTTGCCAATTCATAGTGTGACCAAATCAAAGGATTGCTTTATACAGCTGTTTATTTGTATTATCGGCGTGGGTAAAAAATTACATACAAAATATACATGATTAAAATATTTTACGAGATTCGTTTAAATGCATTCAATTATTTCTTCCTCGAGCCACACATCATCTCGTATTCCTCCTTGGTAAAGTCCGACATATGATTAATGCCCATTGTCCATGTAACCTCGCCGCTTTCATATTTCTTATTATGCTCCTCGACTTTGGCCTTGGCCTTCTCGTACAGCGAACGACGTATTTGATCCTCGTCTTTATCGTAGCTCTTCTTGTGCTCAGTCTAGAAACAACAAAGGGCGTTAATCATCATGATATTGCGTATTTGGTTTTTTCCATATCAATATCAATATTACCTTATACTGAGCCCACTCATCGTCTGTTACGAGCGACATGTTTGCAGCTTTAATTTTTAGATGAGACTAATAAAAGTAATGCACAATTTCAAATTCAATTTCGATAAGGTTCAATGTGATTCACCAATATATACTATATAAGCCAAACACAGCAAAACAATGCAATATCAAACAATGTTAACTGCACTGGCGTGAAGTTGGCTGCATGTTATTTAACATACATTCAGCCGACTGTAAATGCTTAACAGTGATGTGGTGAATATATATTTTCAATTTACTTTGGTGTCATTTTTATGTGAGACTAATCGAATAAATCTATAATATTTTTCAATGTGATTTATTAAGTTTTTAAGCAACACAATTCAATATCAAGCTCAGTTAACTGCACTGTCGTGAAGTTGGCTGCAAATCTCTAATCATTTTAACTTTTATTTTGCTGTCAATTTTCGACAAAATCATTAATTGTTTTAGGGAGCTGAAGCGCACTTCACCTTAGCATCGGACAAAGCGAGATCATTTTATTTATTTCAGCAAATAAATGTTTGTTTATTTTTTTCAAAATTGTTTTCTACATATGTCGCTTGGAATAATTTTCCATTTTGTCGAAATTCCAAGTTTAAAAAAGTAGCCAGAAGATGGGCGTGATAAAGCAATATATTGCCGGCCTATCAGCAGCGTTTGGTGCCTTCTGCTTGGGCGCCTCGATTGGATGGTCGGGACCCATGGAGCAGCCTATCGTTTCGGGTGACGCATACAAATTTTCGGTTAGCGGCGATGATTGGGGCTGGATCACTTCGATGTTGACATTTGGCGCTGCCTGTATGTGCATCCCAGTTGGCATTCTGATTGCCGCCTTTGGACGCAAGCTGATCATGTTAATACTGGTCATACCATATATGATCGGATGGATATGCATCTTTGCCGCCAGAAAGGTGTTCATGCTGTACTTGGGGCGATTCATAGTTGGCGCCTGTGGCGGCGCCTTCTGTGTCACAGCGCCCATGTACACCACAGAGATTGCCCAATTGGAAGTGCGTGGCGTTATGGGTTGTTTCTTCCAGCTGCTGATTGTGCATGGCATCCTTTATGGTTTTATTGTGGGCGGACTCTTTTCTCCAATTCTCGTCAACATCTTGTGCGGCATATTGCCAGTGATATTCTTTCTGATATTCATGTGGATGCCCGAATCACCCGTTTATCTCGTCCTGAAGGGCAAAACCGACTTGGCAGAGAATTCAATGAAATGGTTGCGTGGCAAGGATGCGGATATCAGTGGAGAGATGTCCGCCATGGCTGCGGAGGGTAAAAAGGAGAAGGCCACCGTTAAGGAAGCATTCTCCCGTAAGACCACACTCATTGGACTATTTATAGCCATAGTGCTGATGTTGCTGCAACAATTGACGGGCATCAATGCGATACTCTTCTATGTGACCAGTATTTTTGAGCAGGCCGGCACAGGATTATCGCCATCGGCGTGTACAATTCTAATTGGAGTTGTTCAAGTGTTTGCAACAATTGTCGCAATATTGCTTATCGAGAAAGCTGGACGCAAACTGTTGCTACTGATATCGGCTGCAGTCATGGCTATCACCACCTTTGTGATGGGTCTCTATTTTCAGATTCTAATGGAAAAGAATGTTGGCTGGTTGCCCGTGTTGGCCATTAGTTTATTCATCATTGGCTTCTCGCTGGGATTTGGTCCAGTGCCTTGGCTAATTATGGCCGAACTCTTTGCAGAGGATGTGAAGCCGGTTTGTGGTGCTGTCGTTGGCACGAGCAGTTGGCTCTTTGCTTTCTGTGTGACGAAATTGTTTCCGACTTGTCTGGATGTTTTCGGTCCCGCCGCATCATTTTGGATATTTACCGCTTTTGCAGTTGCCGCCTGTGCCTTCATTTTATTCTTTGTGCCGGAGACAAAGGGTAAAACATTGGATGAAATCCAGGGCTTACTTGGCGGTTAGCTAATTCAGATGATTGCAGCATTATATATATCGTATGGTATGTATGAGAAGCACGACTCGACATTTTATTTGAATTTATGCTCTCTTCCACAGATATATATGTGTATATATTGGAAAGGATCCATATGTGATGCACGAATTGATGTAATGCGAGTAGTTGTGTGAGAGAAGGGACTTGAGCAGTATTGCAGATATTATATACAGATAATTCTAATGTTAACGAGATGTGTAAAGATGAGTAAATGTGCTGATTTCAGATTTATTGGTAAGGTCATTGTTGCCGTTATTGTTGTTGTTGTTCCCGCAGGGTAATAAAATAATGGAATAATTAAAGAACCGGAAAGAGAAGCTGATCTAAGCTTGAACATCGAAATTCAAGCAGTTTGATATCGATAAGTGGATGGCTACAGAAAATGAGTAAAGATAATTGAATTTAATTGATTAAGAAAATCTATATGTAATTATAAGTAAATGCGCTGAGTTCAGGCAAGAAGAATGTGCAATCAATCGATTAATTCTATTTATTTATAATGAGAAAATGGAGAATATTGGAAGAGCATTTGCTGAGCTCAAGCTGGAATGACTAGCAGTTATCAAGTACAAAAAAATTAATTTTGTGCCTTTTTTAGGATAAGTAAACAAAATTTTTGTGTCGAACTCGAACGTTCTTTTTGACACTATTTAAATATATGTATATATATATATAGCCGGAAATGGGCATCATAAAACAATATGTGGCGGGCACAGCGGCATCCCTTGGTGCCTTCTGTTTGGGCACCTCGATGGGATGGTCGGGACCCGTGCAGCTGTCCATCCTCTCGGGTGAGGCATACAGGTTTCCGGTCAGTGCCGATGAATGGAGTTGGACGGCCTCGTTGTTAACCCTTGGAGCTGGTTGCATCTGTGTTCCAATTGGATTCCTGATTACGGCATTTGGTCGAAAGATGATAATGCTGGTGCTGGTGTTTCCCTACCTGTTGGGCTGGTCCCTTATCATAGGAGCCTATTCCGTAGGTATGCTAATGGCTGGACGCTTCCTAATGGGCTTTTCGGGTGGCTCCGCTTGTGTCACAGTTCCCATCTACACAACCGAAATTGCCGAGATTAAGTCCCGTGGAATTATGGGCTGTTTTTTTCAATTATTTTTTGTGCTTGGCGTTTTGTATAGCTTCATCTTTGGCAGCCTGCTCGAGATGAAAACCTTTAATATCCTGTGCGCCATAGTGCCAATGATCTTCTTTGTGGTATTCCTGTGGATGCCCGAATCACCCGTTTATCTGGTGCAAATGGGCAAATCCGACAAGGCGGAGAAAGCATTGAAATGGCTACATGGCAATGATGCGGATATCAGTGGAGAGATGTCCGCCATGGCAGCTATGGGCAAAAAGGAGAATGTATCCTTCTTACAGGCTCTGTCCAGGAAGACGACACTCAAAGGATTATTTATAGCAATAATGCTGTTGGTATTCCAACAGTTTACGGGCATCAATGCGATTCTCTTTTATGTGACCAGTATTTTCGAGAATGCCGGCACCGGATTATCACCCTCAACATACACAATCATTATTGGACTGGTCGCAGTTGTGGCCACAATTCCATCGATGGTGCTTGTGGAGAAAGTTGGTCGCAGCATTTTACTAATTATTTCGGGTGGATTGATGTGCCTGACCACCTTCACAATGGGTGTATATTTTAGGTGGCTCAAGGATTCAAATGTCGGCTGGCTGCCTGTGTTGGCCATCTGTTTGTTCATCATTGGATTGCAGTTGGGTTATGCCCCTGTTCCCTGGCTAATTATGGCCGAGCTCTTTGCGGAGGATGTGAAGCCAATTTGTGGTGCAATTGTTGGCACCTGCAGCTGGCTGTTTGCCTTCTGTGTGACCAAATTGTTTCCCATGTGTTTGCATCATTTAGGTTCCGCTGCCACCTTTTGGGGATTCGCATTCGTCTCTTTGTTATCTTGTGTCTTTGTTATTTTTGTGCCGGAGACAAAGGGCAAAACTTTGGATGAAGTTCAACGAATGCTCGGAGGAAACTGATCTTGAGAAATTATATATGTAAAATGATGATAAATCCTGCTTTTAGAGATTATTATTAAGGGAGCGCTATATTGACTATATTCACCTTTTATGGAAGGACTAGAAACATTTGTAGGATGTGTATTCAATATAATAAGAAAACGGATAACAATTCCGTTATTGAAATAATGTTCGTTTGGATTACTTCTCATGATATATATTTGAACTACACTCGTAAGTATGTGGAGAGATGGCCTGCAATGGAATGTATAAAGGAGAAAGAAGTCTTTGGCGAGCGGAATATATTTTTATGTGTCAATAATCGTTCTTATCTCGGATTTAACTATCACCTCGAAAATATTGATTGCTTTTGGTGTCTATTAACGGAAATTATATTTTAATCTGGTGGTATTATAGATAGATAATAGGTTATCATAATGTTTTATTGATCTATACAAGCAGCAAATATAATTTAACAGAATTAACAATTGATGTGCAGTTATCGTGATAAGTATGGAAAACTTGATTAATATCGATAACAGCCGCATGGCGCTCTCTCTGCAGACAATGATGGTTTTGTTTTAGAGAGAGGGAGAGTGTAATTGCCGTTAAAAATCCAATCCAACAAGCGTAAAATAAATGCAGATAAGATAATAAAAGTATGAAAAGGCTGTCTTTTATTGTATTGCTACCTTCTCTTCCATTTGAGCAGGTGAGTCCAATTACCTTTAGCGTTATTTTTGATTACCGTTCGTCTGCCATCGATTTATCGATTAGATTTGTTAATAAACAAAAGCACTTCACTTGTTTCCACCTTAAATGACAAAATACACACATTCCCATCACTTCAAGGTCAACGGTTATTAAAACAATGCAGAGAGGGGGCAGGGCGCTGCAGGGAGATGTGCAGCGAGGGTCTGTTAATATTCGTTCAATGTCGAAAATGTGAATCATTGCTGCATTTGAACTAATTCGATATTGCTGCATTGCTCAATTGTTGTTGTTGTTCATTGTCCATTGTCCATTGTCGACGTCGACGTCGTCGCTGACGTTGTATAACTGTAGTTGTTAATGTTATGGTTCTCTTTTTGTCTTCTTTAGTATACGCTTAATTACAGTTATGTGTGCGCCGTTGCCTGTCGCGGACGCTAACGGTAAAATCGACGTCAGATTTGTTTAGATTTAAAAACTCAACGAGGTAAATAAATAAATAATAATTAATATTTATTTGAAAGAGATTTGTAAAAATATATTATTAAATCTAATTATTATGTGTAAAACATATATTTGACTATATATAAATTATTAATTAATTTTTCTTATAATTTACAATCGCGAAAGCTTTTCTCGTCAGATCATCGTGTTTTTTGTACGTTCGTGTTCGTATTTTGTGTGTACTTATAATCCAATTTGTGGTTGTCGCATTATATTATACTATACTATATATGAACGCATTTATCTGCATGCATTCATTCACCACTTGTGTACTTGTTTTGAGCAATAATCAGCACAGAGTCCAATTATGCGTCCAACTTATCAGCAAAAGGAGAATCAAGAACATTGCACTATATAATATATGTAATCTACTTACATTTAAAGAACTACGAGTTCAAAAGTTGTTTAATACCTCTAGTGGTAAGATTTACCAATGATCAGTGCCGAATTTGTATGGTGAGTTTGTTCGTTTGTTTGCTGTAAAATTATAATTCCACCACGCTGCTCCTTGCTATGAACTGATGCTTTACATTCATGTCATTTGTTTGTATGTGTATATATGTGTGTTAAGCTTTCACATAGATTAAGTTTTTGACAACTGTTCTTCGTCTGAGCAAAATAGCATTCTCCATATGTTTACTACAGTCGCTACTCATGCATTGTTTTGGCGCCAAATTGCCAGCAGCCGCTGCTTTTCTGAAAGTTCTCATGTGAGAGCAAAAAGTGTGTGAGTGTGCGAGAGAGCGAGAGTAAGTAAAATGGCTGCGCAAGCGAGCGCTGCTGTGGTGAACTAGAACCAAATATATGGTGAATGTAATTGTATTGTAATTGTAAGGACAAGTCATTGGGGCAACATGATTTAAGTTTTTAGTTTTAAATTAATTGTTTATCATAAACATTTAAAGTACAGTTTCAATCAGACTGGGATTTATTTCATATTTTATTTTACAAGCCAAAATATTAAAAAAAAATCTTAGCAAATTGCTTTGACAATTCAAAATGCCCGACAAGAAAGGAGTCAAAATAACAAAACAGAATAAGTGCCGGAAACAACCCCCAGGTCCCAGTGGAGGATAAAAACAGAGTCCGTTAGTGCGTCCGTCAGTCAGTGAGAGTCGCAGCCGCATTCGCAGTTGACGTCGCGGCGCGTTTTTATTTTAAGCTCAAAATACAATTTCTATTTTTTCCTCCACACACGAGACAATTTCGCAATGGGCATTTCATAAGTGAGCATAAATATATAAATAAATCAAGAATATATGTCGCATATATAATCAAAACAAACAAAAAATTGTGCATTTTGCGATGGCTATAGTGAAAATTACGAGAATTTTTTTTAAATGTCGCGTTGAGCGTTGAATGGGAAACCACGTGAATCTGCTGAACTTACACTGAAAGTGAGCTATAATTAAATACAAGTGCATATATATTTATGTTATATATATGAACATATAAATATTTCATGAGATTATTGATTTTATTTGAATTAAACTGCACATATTGAAAAATCGAATTAGAAATGGCTGCTGCTTGGCGTGGCGCCCTCTGCCGTACAACTGCGGCAAACAGCTGACAAAACAGCAGCGCTTCAGCAAGGCCAGTGTTGCCCCTCCCACGCCGCTCACCAATCGCTCTATCTCCCTCTCCCTCTCTCCTGCGTGCTCTTGACAATGAAAAGCTCAATCGTTGTCTGTTTGCATGTGTGAGCTGCATATTTGCATGAGTGTGTGTGTGTGCGCTGTAAAGTAGGCTTTAAAAGATTTAACATTGGAATAGTTATTTATGTATATGGATTTATTTTTAGTTGTTTGTCCAAGCCAAAATGGTAGACTGCGCTCTCCTTGGGCGTTTTGGGATCTGGCACACACTAACACACTCACACAGCCTGGGCAACGTGCCAAGTTTAGTCGCAACTGCGGCATCTGTCAACGTTTTGACAACAATTCATTGCGATATATACACAGACACACACACACACACACACATTTATATATGTATTTGTGTAGCAGCTGACCTTTTTTGTTATTTTCCTGTTTGCTGCCCAAGAAAAGATAAAAAAAACAGAGAAATTCAACAAGCTGGCCACACAATGCGCATGCCACGCCCACCCCGCCTACTCCTACAAATTTGACAGCTGGTCAATCAAAAAAAATGGGGTGGCGGGGTGTGGTGTGGTGTATTTGGTCTGCCTGTGCACCTGTGCCGCATTAACTGTAGTTGCTATTTGCTTATCGTTGCATGATTTCCGGTAAAACAGCCACCAAAATAAACAAAACAAAAGAAAAAGTGTCTGCTTCACAACGAAGCTTCTATACTCTTTTTCAAAGGTTGAAACTAACATTATACTCTCCGAAAAAATGGCCTTAAAATCTACTTAAAGGGAAAATTGCACTTACAACTAGAAATTTTTTCTTTTACATATATGTAATCCACAATACATAATTCTTAAAGTTCAGTTACATAAGTATATATTTAAAATAAAATGAGAAACAAAATGCTATATAAAATTATTTTCAAATTCAAATTACTTGAGCTTTAATTTTTAAAATATAATATTATACTTTAAGCTTTAAGCTACCCAACGTTTTTTAAACAAACACAAATTTAATTTTGTGAATATATATTTATCTTTTGGGTTCTGTTCCTTTGTCGATTACATCAAGGTGTATTTAGGGTTTGTTGGGGTTTTACTTAAACTGCAAAGCCTGGAAAGGAGTGGGCGGAGGAGAATAAGGAGTAAGAGGCATGCGCCAGTAAAACAAACAAACAAAAAAACAAATTTATTTTTCGGGTTGTTAGCAGCACGCAATGCGGTTAATTTTTAATATAGAAGAATAAGTACAAAAGTTTTAGTTTAACCGTAAAAAGTTTCTTTACATTTCCAGAGTCAATCGAAAACTTGAGTTAAACGAAAGACAAGCAAAAGAAACTGATTTGTTATAATCAATATGGACTGGGATTGGGCAGTTGGCGGCATCACGGATGATATACCCCGTACAACGGGTGCGGAGTGCATCAATTATATGACGGATCGACGTCGCTGGACAGAATCGGCGCTACTCTGCGCCCTATTCGTCTACATCATGCACAGTTCGTGGAAACAACTGGCACCCATCCGTTTGCCGTCGCCACATGAGATACAGAAATCACACAGTCCGATGAGATTATTCCTGCTGATCAGCATGTCCATCGTCTTTGGCATCGAGATGGGCTTCAAGCTGGCGGGTCGCTCAATGATCTTCACCCTGAATCCGTGCCATGTGCAAACCTGCCTCCAGGTTAGTTTTTTTTTTTTAAATTATTTATGTATCTATATGGCTAATGGTATTCTCTTGGCTTAGATCTATTTGCTGGCTGCCAAACCGACGAGGACGACAACTGCCTTGTTTCGCATTCAGATGAGCAACTTGAATGGACCCTTTCTGGCATTTATCTTTCCCGAGGTCGAGGGACGCACCTATCCCTTTGAGCAGGCCGCCTATTGGATACAGCACGCCCTGCTCTACATCATACCCATTTACATCTTGAGAAGCGGTAGGTGATTCTATTCTACTCAAGGAAGCTGTCTGTCTGTGTAAGCAAGCTGATCTCAGAGAGATTATAATAACCAGAGGCTTAAAGTTTGGTATATAAGTTCTCGTATACCCTACGCAGTTCAAGTTTATTTCATTTCATCGATAACTGCACCCGTTTCAGTACTTTGATAGAAATCGATTAACGATAGCTTAAAATACACAATTGTAAAGTTATAGGGAAATATAGATATATAATATACCTAAACTTATCGTAGATAAACATCACAAATTTTCTTGATATCTCATAAGAAACACATATGTTGTTTCTTATTTGCATGTTGAAACCAACTGAAATCAAGTCGAGCACTCTCGACTGCATTATTCCAAATGTATTTTGAAATAAGATTTTTATACTTTTAGGTGCCTATACAGTTGAGGATTTGGGTGACTTCAAGTGGTCCAAAATCGGCACCGCCTTCATGCTCTTCTATCATTTTGCGTTGCTCTCCCCGCTATCCATAGTAAGTGCCGATCAGCAGTAATTGCTATTTATATATATATATATATATATACATTTTGTATCTCTTTAACAGCTTACTGGCATTAATCTGGATCATATGCTGTGTGCGGCGATGTCGGATCCGTTTCAGGGTCAAAACTATAGACTCTTTGCGTGTTGCCATCAGGCGATGCTTTGTCCGCTGCTCAGCAAGGGAACTGCTCTGATCTTTGGCTCCAGGAAGAGCAGATCCAATGAGAATGGCATACACAATAATGTTGCGCTTAGCAGCGAGAACTATGCCCCAATATCGGATGCCATCTATCATCAGTTGCAGCAACAGCAGCAGCAACAGCTACAGCAGCAACAGTTGCAACAACATCAGGATTATGTTTCTGCGGAATCGTTGGCGGGAGAATATCGGATGCCGACAACTAAGATTGACTAGTATAGCGCCAATTTGTGGCAAATTTTATTTATATTCGATGCGACAAGTCAATTTCTAGTTTATTACACAATTTGCCTGAATTTCGTCAATGATTTATGAAGATTTCGATTGCTCCCCCAAAGCAAATTTGTAGTTAGAAGCGTAGCAAAAGAAAAATGGGGGGAGGGGTATGTTAAGTGTACATACAATAAATATATAATATTTACAATATTATAATAAATTTAAGGCTAATTGATTTATGCTCATCGAGGTTCTACTTCTAATTAATGGCAACAGTTCGAAATGTTCTTGTTCAATTATTGTACTATTACTATTTAACAATTAGTTTGTCGTATAAAATCAAAATATTTATTAACGTTTAACTAAACTTATTACAATGTGTACAATTTTTTAAATATAAGCGCCCAAAAACCAATAAATAATCAGACTCAAAGCAAAGTTTTGAACGGGGCGCCATTTGCAGGCTTGTCCGGTCACCTTAATCTACTTAAAAGCTTGCTGGCAATGCTCTCGATAACTAAAATGTTAAGTAACAGCAGCTGTTAAATTTTCTTGGGGTGCCCATAAATGTGCAGCTCTGTTAACGCTGCACAGCTGTTCAATGTTGTTCTTACAAAGTTATCGTGCCCGTAGCAACGCTCGAGCTTCTGTCCGCTCGCGAAAAAAAGTATAGGAAAGCAAAAACGTGTTTAAAACAGCAACAAAACTTATACAACTGCAACACATATAAATACATATGTGTATACGCTAGAAAATGCAACATGAGAAGTGATTAATACAAAAATAAAACGTTAGAAAGAAAAGCCGCGCAATAAAATTTTATGCGACGCAGCCGTGCAAAAATACCAAAAAGGGCAAAGAAAGCCAAGCATGCGGCAAAAAAAAAACAGTGCTGAAGCAAGTGATAATTATAAAAATACACGCTGAATAGAATTTTGTGCGTGTCTGTAGTTGCTGTGTGTGTGTGAGTGTGCTTTTATTCATGTTAATTTGATAACAATACAACAACAACCACAATAACAACAAATATAAATGCACATAAAGTGAATGTGTGCGAGGAGAGCAGCTGTCTGTGTGTGAACAAGATGCGCAAAAATGTCAATTAATTAAAACAAAAAAATATCAACTAGAAACGCGACAGCGCAAAAAAGGTGCGAATGAAGCGCAAGAAAAAAAGCAAAAAATCAATAGGCAAAACAGAATGCGAAAATGTGTCGATATTGTTATTGTTTTTATTATTATTGTTGTTATGATTATTGTGAAAATCAATGCGATAGAACAATGCTATTAATAAATAAATATTCACAGTTGCCGCGCTGACGTGTTGCCTACGCAAATGATGCGTTGCTGCATGTGCGAAATTGCGTAATTTTTTGTTGGTATTGGGAAACGTTTGCAAAAGCCGCAAATCAAAGTTTACCCTTTAGAATCAACGCTTCAAACTTCACCACACTTTACACATTCTTTTTCCCCACCACTCTCTTACGCTCGCGCTCTCTCTCTCTCGCGCTTTTGTATATTCCGGTCGCCCGTTCCCTCTCTTTTTCTCTCTCGCTCGCTCACTCGCGTGTGATCAAAGGTGTTTGGCATGGCAGCCGCAACAGATGGCTCTGCCAAAACGGCAGCATCGCTGCCATTAACAGCGAATGGCAATGTTAAAGCAACGCCAAAGCTTAAACTCAATTCACCGCAACCAGCATCATCATCATCATCAGCATCACCAACGGCAGCCAAAGTGGCGACTGCTTCGTCAGCGGCCACTGCTTCGTCTTCTTCGTCGTCCGCATCCGGTTTGCCGGCTTCGGTGTCGCATTTCTACTACAAGCACGGCTTGTTTCTCTCAAGCTATCCAACATGCGCCTCCAGCATTGCCCTCATGGCCATTTTGCTTTCGTGGTAAGTTTATCTACTACGTACGTTGGCTGTGAAGGGACTGCGTTATACCGGATTAAAAAGATGAGTATAGCGCTACATCTCACACTTAAATATGTATAATTATTTTTGTAGTAATTTTCACTTCTTTTTAGACTATTTTGACATAGAGTATTGCATAGTCGATATTGCTCCATTTGAACTATTTTATTCATTTTTTTGGCTACTTTACATATAGAATTTGCTGTTTTGCTTTCTGATTTATCGCTTTGCCAATTCTCAAAATTATGCACAACTAAAAATCCAAAATTTTTTAGCAAGTTCTTTTTTTTTTTTTTTGTGCTGCCACGAAATGAAATTATGTATGCTTTGTACGTGTGTGTGTGTGTTTTTTTCCTGTTCCCCACTATCCTACAGGATAAACGACCCCTTTGGGAATTCGCATGTCTACGGTACATTAATTTTAATCGTAGTTCTGATCAAGCAAACGTGACTCAGCATGTCTGTATTATGAAATAGTTAAGTCTAAAGATAAAAACAAGTTGAAGCATTTAAGTTTATAAATACGAACTGAGTATACCTTATGGAATCGTAAAAAACTACTTTAATTTGCACTTAAAGAGTATTTCAAATACAGCTTTTACATATTTGAGATACTTTAAACTTTTTGTAAGCACTGAGATAGGCTTCTTTGCACAGATAGACAGATGCCAGATTGCTGATCAAGAATATATATACTTTATGGCCGCAGGTGCTTCCTGCTGACTTTTACGTACTTTTACGCAACTACATTTGAACATTTTTTCAGAAAAAATTGAAAAAGTTGCGATTACATTTTAGCTTGACTTGCGGTTAGATAATAAAATTGATAATCAGCAAAAATTATTGAACCCAGCTAGCATGCCAAAGCATGCGTCAATCGAGTTATTCTACACAATATAGTATATAAATATATATAATAATAATAATATTTATATTTATTTGTGCTTTGCCATTGCTTGTATTCGTGATAAGACAAAATACAAAGCGCGTTAATGCATAAATATTTATGAATATTGCAAATTAAATCAAAGGGTCAACCATTTATCTTTTTATTTATACATAAATATATATATAAAAATATTAGGCAGACTGCAACTTGATCCTTTTCAATTAACGAGTTTTCAACTTGAACTGAAATTTATTTTTAGCTTATATACAAATTTATATATATATATTTATTTTTATTTGATTTTAAAGAGCGCCACGCGCACAAAGATGTTTATCAATTTCGAACGATGAACAAATAAATAATTTCTAGACCTCAGATTGCCCAAAAAAAAAAAAAAAAAATGAATATGGATGGCACAGTGTCTAATATATAATTGAAATTATTTAATAATACATACAATCAGACATGTCTGTAGTGTGTGTGTGTGCGTGTTTCCAACACATGCGGTGCTTGTTCCATTTCATGCACGAAATTCTCAATAGGTAGAATTCCAGACAGCCTTATAGAGGAGGCGTTTCCGCAGCCAGCAAATGAATAAGCGGGTAAACCACAAAATATTCACATATATTCGTGTGGGCATATTCATTGTGTCATGGTTGTTGTTAGATCCATGTGAGGTAATAATTAGTCAACATATAATTATATACATACGATGGATTGTGGTCAATACTTATTGGGATAACTTTCTGAGAACTAATCAAATGGTGTATGGACAAAATTATACATGAACTTATTTAAAATAGGTTCAATAGGTAATCAATTTGTGGAATATTTTATAACAAGCAGAAGCAAGCATCTGTGATTCCATAAAGCATATATATTCTCGATCAGCAACAAAAGTCGAGTCGATTCACCTAGGTTCATCTATCTGTCTGATTGAAGAAGCTGATGTCAGAGTCTATAAGAGCTGGAGACTTTAAATTGAGTATACAAGGTTAATGCATTTTATCGATTTGTTTGCCCATTTTGCAAATGTCGATAAAAATCCATTTCCGATAATAATAAAATACACACTTTCATTTGCGATATGTATATATACCATGACATATTGATGATATTGATCAGTCTTTTTTTTAAATTTCATCAATATCAATTCAGAAATGAGCATGAAAATCGTATTTCCATAATTATCAAATTACAGAGTAGCAAACGCAGTAATTTTCTTATTAAATATATACACTTATCAGTGAGTTGGTTTGATTCTCTATAACTTGTTCGCCTTACGATAGGTATAAACTTGCTTAGAGAGTATCTCATAGTCTCTCCCGACTAGTGTATTCTTAATTGTTGTAATAATTATTGTAACGTCTTGTTAACTTTCTCCCAACAGTTTGAAACCCTTTTCCTTTCACACAATAAATCTTTTAACTCTTAGCTAAACTACCCATCTTATAGATTTTATCACCATTTTGGTTATTTGGTTTTTTGAAATCTTAAACGTCAATAAAATAAACTTTGCTAGTCCTAGAATACCGTGCCTTTAGTTGAAGAAGTCAATATCTACTTCTCCAGTTCTCCCTTTCTCTATATAAATCTCTCTCGCTCTCAAATCAAACTGGGATTAAATGAAAACCTGTTTAGTTGCCAACTGAGCTCTCATTCTGATTCTGGATTATCAGTAGTAAATAGTTTAGTGCAGCAAAAATGATTTATATTCGGCAAAGGCGCCAAATCTCTTATCACTAATCACATTTTGCCTCGTTTTGACTGCTGCTGTTTCTTCTTCTGTTGCTTCTGCTTGCTGTGGCCCGCTAACCTTGAATATATACAAATGTTAGGTGACAAACTGATTTGAATCGTTGATAAATCAAATACTCTAATATATATATGTATATATATATATATATATATGCACAAGTGTTGATGTTGATGTTTCGGGAAATCGTTGGAGGCGCACGCGTTAGATTACAAACTATACAAACGCTGATAGTAATAACAACAAAAATGGGGAATGGCAAAATAAGTAAGGATGAGATTGATTCCACGACTATGTGGTTACCCTGTAATAGAATGAAAATGGAAACATAAGTAGCAATATTTGTCTGTATTAGTTGTATAAAATGGATACTTGAATAACCACTGCATTCATTATTTGAGATATGTGTAAGCCATATAGAGGGGAATAAGTAAGAGTATAGGAGTTACCCTGAATCCCTATCTGTTAAATAGGCTTGATGATGGTAACTTTTACAATATGAAAATACCTTTAAATTTTGTACAGCTTAACAATTATTTGTCTGCTTCTATTATATATCAATTATAAGTCTATATCTTTACAATTGTGTCTTGTATAGCTGTCGGAAATTTGTATCGATATACGCGAACAGGGGGCAGTTATCGATAAAATAAAATGAACTTGATCTAAGTATGTTATACGAAAACTTATATACCAAATTCGAAGTCTCTGCGATAAGATGGCTAATGCAGACTGTCAGACTGTTATTGCTGATCAAGAAAATATAACGTTATTGGTTTGGAAATGCTTCCTTCTGCTTGTTACACACACACACAGCGAAATAACAAACAATTATATCCATTAAATTTTCATACACCCTTCCATCATTTTTATGACCACAGGGTATAATTGAATCAAGCACGCGAAGCTTGGCCAAAAGTAGCAAACTTAAAAAGCATTTCATTTAATGGACCAATTAAAAACTAACTCAATATCTACCTCTCCCATTCTTTCACTATCTCTCTCTCTCTCTTTCCCACTTAGTTATCCACTGATTAATATACCATTGCCGGGCACAATACCCACTAAAATTGTGCTACCCTACGATGGACGCTACACGCCGCTTTTTGGCGAAACGGAATCCACAACAACAACAACAACATCATCGACAACAGCTGCTTATAATCAAAGTGGAGCCAGTGGAGCAACAGTCAATGGCAGCAGAGGGAGTGGAGATAACGGAGCTGGGGGTGGAGAACGTGGCAGTCTGCCCTGGGCACAGAGCAGCCCGGCGCTGTACGTGCAACAGATAACGTTGCGGGCGAGCGTTCTGCCCTGGACCGATGAGATGCAGTTAATGGATGCGTTCCGAGCGCCGCTCTACGAAGTTTTTAAATTGCTCGAAATTGTGCGCAATCATCAGAGCAGCGAGAAGTAAGTACACACAAACGATACCTATATCTATATATATAGTATATAGTATATAGTAGTATACACATGACATTGCCTTTAATTGAATCAAATTCCCTTTTTGTAGTCAGCGCACATTGGAGCAAAATTGCCTGCATGTGGACAATGTTAAACGGGGCGCTCACGGTCAACTCGATCAGATCTTTCCCGAATATGGCTGCCTTTTGTTATCGCCAGCGAATTTATGGACACAGAATGCACAGAATTTTACCAGAGATACAAATATATTAAACACTATCTTTCAATATCATGTAAGTGTGAAAAATATACCTTCAAGTGGGTTTTATGTTTGTGTTTCTTTTTTTTTCGCTAATGGATCATGCCGCTAATTGTATTTGCCCAAGCACTTGTCGAGGCTATTAAATTTGGACTGCACTTTGACTGTCTCCGATTCGCATTTAGTTGGAGCTATTGTAAACTTTGATAATTAACAGTCTAAAGTTTAGTTTGAAAAGGTTGGCAGTTGTATTGATTGGTTGGCATTGATTATAACTTAATAGCTTTTTAAGCAACTAAGTTAAAGATGAGCTTGAAACGATAGCCAGTTGTAGCATTGATGCGCTCACGATTTGCTAGCTAAATCGAAGACTTACATTTTTAGGGGGGAGTGTACTTTATCTAATCTCCAAGTAGTTATATATTTTAATATATATATAGCCTTTGAATAGTTGTAAACCTTGCGATTTTGAATATTCTGATTGTGATTGTGATCACCCTTTGTGAATAAGGACTGGAAAACTTAATAGTTTTTATAAGAGTTTAAATTCCAATCGATCGAATAGACCTAATGCTATTTCTGAATTTCTACTCTTTTGAGTGTCCGCTTGCAAATGCTTGCTGTCTGCATTTGAAAAAGCTCATTGGGTCGATTACTGAACGCAATTGCAATAGTTTTGAATGTGTAAATATTTATGGGTATTTTATGCATTTGCTTTCGATTCGAAAGCGAAACGCGGCGCGGACCTTTGCCATGTTTTTTCTCCCCGTTAACCCACCCAACTCATTTACACGAACTTTGTGATAATGTTAAGCCCATATGCTCATGTGTGTATATTTGTTTATAAATATTTATATATATGTATATATATGTGTATTCAGTTACTTATCTATCAAACACTTTGGCTTCCTCTGAGTCATTAATTGTGTTTGTTTAGCGCTTTGTGAGAATCGATTCCGTAATATTAGCTCTATTTTTGCTTTCTTTTTTTATTGCCAAGGGCCTTGAACTTGTGGCAACTATAATTTAGATACATATAGCGTGTATATCTGCTCTAATCTAATACGTAACAGTTTCCTGCACAGATTGAATCCACAAATCTGTTTAATAACAGGGAAGTGTTCTAATTTATTAAGATAAGCTTCATATTGGTATAATTATTTACCAGAAATTTATAGCTGCAATATGATAATCGAAACGTCTTGTTTAGATAATGTTATTTGCCAGGAAAAATAAAAACAAGTAGCTTCAGTGTTAAGAGTGCTTCAATTTACTATATGCTGATTGGCATATAAAGAAAAAATGTTGAGATTAGTAATATGATTTCTTCGTAACTGAAATTATAGAGAAATCATAGGTTTCTACAAGTATGCTTGGGAATTTTACAAATTGTTATACTCTTGCAGAGAGTATTATACTTTTGCTGTGAAGTGTGCAACGCTTTAAGCGGAACGTGTCCGAACCCATAAAATATATATATTTTTGATCAGTGTTACTAGCTGAGACGAAAGAATGAAATACTTTTATATTTAACATTACACCCACACCAAATTTAGTCAATATGCGTATTATTATGCTTTTAATATTTATTAAACAAATATCTCCGGTCTGCAAGGGTATTTAATATTTGACATAACAAAAATAAAAGATATTTCTTGGTGTTTTTTATCTGCTGGAATATTATGGGGCTATAATGAGATAGGAGCTCAGGGAAAATTTTCAACATTAGATAAGACAAAAATTAATTTTATTTTGGTCTCTTTTTATAATTTAAATATGTATTTGCTGTGTTTTTATTTTTAGTCCAATATATTTGGCAACTCAATTACGATTTGTGTTCAGGGAATGATTCACACGTTAAAAATTAATATTCAAAAATGTTGAATAAAAGTAAGCGTCGCAGTTCGAATATGATTGATAAGCTGCAATCATTGATTGATATGAAATCCCCTTCTTGTTGTACCTGCGTGAGTCTGTGTGTGTTCATTCATTGAGGAATTAGTGGTCTTACAGAGAATCAAAGTGCAGGTGGTGCAGTTATCAGTTATCAATAACCTCCAATCATTGTCAATAAATTTTAAATCGCTATAATCTTTTTATTTTGTTTAACATTTTCAGAATCTGCAAAAATCGAAAGTTTCGACGGCGGAAATGTTATTCGGATTGCCCATGCAGGATACGGGATTCAAGCGTTATCCACTCCGAGCACGCTCCCGCATTATACAATATGCAATGACGCTGATCCTGAATAAGAATGATGCCGAGTATTTGGAGACGTTGAAGGAGAAATTATTGCGTTATTATCCACCACTGACGGGAGCTGGAAAAGCAAATGTGCCGCAGCAGCAGGAGCAGGATGAGGAGGAGGACGAACCGGCCACAATAACATACATCTTTTATCCGGGCGAATTTAAAATCTGGGAATTTTTACCCTTATCGCTGGCCTTCGTTGTGGTCTTCATTTATGTGTATTTCTCGGTGCGAAAAATCGACGTATTCCGTTCGAGAGTGTTGCTGGCGCTGTGCAGCGTTTTTACCACCTTGGGCAGCCTGGCCATGTCCCTGGGACTTTGTTTCTTCTTTGGCTTGACCATCTCACTGCAGTCCAAGGATATATTCCCGTATCTGGTTATACTGGTGGGCCTGGAGAACAGTTTGGTCATCACGAAGAGTGTCGTCTCCATGGATGAGACTTTTGATGTGAAGATACGCGTGGCACAGGCTCTGAGTAAGGAAGGCTGGCACATCTCGAAGACGCTGCTTACAGAGATTACCATATTGACCATTGGACTGGCCACCTTTGTACCAGTGATCCAAGAGTTTTGTGTATTTGCCATTGTAGGATTACTCTCGGATTTTATGCTACAAATGCTGCTCTTCTCGACCATACTGGCAATGAATATAAAGCGGGCGGAATACACAACGGAAGCGAAGCATTTGCCCAAAATGATGCTGAGCTGCACGCTGGGCAATAATACAAATGCGGCTGCTCGACAGGATTTTCGTTTCTTTGGCGCTGCACCCTTTGTGCCCGGCACCTTTCAACGCTCCCAATCCCACCCCAAGCTCTGTTTTGCGGACACCGTGACAGTGGGTGGGGAACGCAGTCCACTGGTCAATGGACATGGAGGCGGTCATTCGGCGCAGGAGGCACGCATCCCCAAGCGCATTAAGATTGTGAATTTCTGGGCACGCACACGTTTCTTTCAGCGCGCCTTCATGATCTGGATGAGTGTGTGGATCTGCTCGATCCTCTATAACTCTGGCTGCCTGGAGCAGTTGTTCAGTCTACAGAGTAATGGCACCATGAGCACCTCTTATGAGTTGCAACGTCATCTGCAGGCGACTCGCGGTGCCGTCTCCAGTTTCTTGAAAGGATTCAAGCCAGCTGGCGAACGGCACAATTATGTGCAGTCAACAACTGAACAGCCACCACATGATTTCAATGAGACGGCGGCGGAATTGTTGCGTCTACGTTATCCTAATTTTGAGCTCAACTATTTTCTGTCCAATTTCCATTGGTCGACGATCATGAAGCAGTACAATGTCTCGCTGAGTGGACAATATGTTACGCTCCTGCCCACGATTCGACTCACCCATGCCATCTCACCAGAGTTGGCAACGTTGTTGCGTAATCCGCAGGAGCAACTGCAACAGAATTTCCAATGGAAAGCTTTGGCGGCCGCCTTGGATCCACTCGACTTCAATGATGATGATGCGCGTCGGGAATCGCCAATGGTTATGCCTGGTGGCACACCACTGGTGCCCAAGAGTCCCATGGAGATCTTCTTCGCCATTATGCTGTGCTGCATCAGCATCTTTGTGCTGTGCTACACCATGGTCGTTTTCTATCGCTGCATCTGCACCCGCAACTATGCCGAATGGCGTTCCAGTTGGCATGAATCCGAGGCGCCGTATAAACAAACCGAACACATTTTGGAGGGCGTTCCGACACAGATTGCAGGGCATAAGCATCGCATCGAGTGCTTGGTGTCTGATGGCAATTACATCATCAGTTGCTGTCTCAAGGGACAGATACGCGTCTGGGATGGACGCAGTGGGGAGCAGTTGGCCAGCATTGGACGCAGCGATATGCAAATTGCCCAGCCACGTCAGGATGGGCAAACGCTGTTGCGCAAGTTGCACACATCGCCGGTATGGTGTCTGGACTATTTCGATAATCTCATTGCGGTCGGGTGTGCCAATGGTCGGGTGGAACTGTGGGAGGCACCCGCCGGTGTCCTCAAGTGTGCCTATCAGGAGGATGCGAAACGGAATCAAGGCATTACTCACATCCATTTAAATGGGGATCGTGTGATTGTCGCTCGCCTCAATGGTCGACTCGATTTCTATCGCCTGGAGACATACTACAAGGGCAAACAAATCGATTGGGGCTTCACCTCGGCTTACAGACGCAGTAAGTTTGCCAAATTTAAAAAGACCGCCTAATCCGTTAGCGTGCTGCTATCGATGAAACAAAAGCTTGCGTTTGTTATTGCTGTTAAGATGCCGCTTCTGTTATTGTCGTGCTGTATGTGTAGCAGCTCGATTGGCGCTGTTAATCCAGTGGCTAATTGGATGCAGATCTCGAATCGCTGTTAATATGCATGTCTGTTATTCTAGTTCAATTTGTTATTTTTGCCTCCACTCTACTATTTTAAAATGAGCAGTTATTGAAGTGTCTGGTTGATAATTATATTTTGAATGTATTTTAAACACGTTTTTTGTTTTTATGCTATTTTTATTTAAAATAGCACATGTTCGCACCGGTTCGACGGGCAGCATTGGGCTGATGCAGCAGCCGCATCAGCAGCGTGGCCCACAGACCACCAAGGAGGAAATGAAGATAACGCTGGAAGGGGTGCGCTTAGCGCATCAGCAGCCCATCACCTGCATGCAGGTGGTCAACGATATGGTCTTCACCGGTAGTAAAGATCACACACTAAAGGCAAGCAACCTTTACCTCCATTTCAAACTGAATCTTATATTAAAGTCCCCTTTTGCATTCAGGTATATTGCCTTAACAAGTCGGATATGGAGTATACGTTACATGGACATTGTGGTCCTGTCACCTGCCTCTTTGTCGATCGCTGGCAGCCGGGCACTGGTGGCTCTGGTTCGCAGGATGGGTTGCTTTGTGTCTGGGATCTCTTTACGGGCGCCTGTTTGTACAACATTCAGGCGCACGATGGCGCCGTCAGCTGCTTGGCCTGTGCGCCCAGCTATGTCATCTCCCTGGGCACAGACGAGCGAATCTGCGTCTGGGAGCGCTTTCAGGGCAACCTGCTCACCACCATCAACATCTCGAATGCATATTCGAGCCTATTAATGCTAACGCCGTCGCTGCTAGTCACCAGCAAGATGGGTAAGATGCCGCCCAGAAGTAATAGTAATATTTCTCTTGTACAAATGTTGTGGAACAGTTAGTAGTAGAGTTAGCCAAGTTAGTTTTTGACGAAATATTCTAAGCATTGAAAGACTTGGTTCTTAGAAATCTGAAATCGTTTTCGATAAAGTTATGGTTCTAGAACGTATTTAACCTTCTGGAGATAAAAGCCCTAATTATATTTAACAATTTTTGTTTATGCTGCATGCAGGTTCTCTGATTGTGTGGGATGTGCGAACTGGACAGCCGGCACGCGAGGTTAAGCTGGACTTTGCCAATCTGCAGCTGTGCCCCAAGATAATGATGCTTGCCTGCGACTCGGTTGTCTGCGATTACGGCAATGAGATACGCGTTGTGCGCTTTCCCATTGTGGCCGATAAGTGCCACTAATGATTAAAATTGAAGACATGAATTTAATTTGTAGTACAGTGTAATATTTAAGTCCATCTGTTTGAATTAATTTTAAAAATTGTAATCTTACTGACGCATTCATTAATTTAATTTATAACTTGTTAGGGTTATTTTGTATATCTCCATATATATATATATATATATATATATAATTTATCACTATTCACCAGTGGCGTTGTGTTTATTCCTTTATATACTGCTATGTAATTATAGCACCTAAGTCTATATATATATACATATATGATATAGATATATTTTAATAATGTACATCTGTCTGATAACACTTACTATCTGGAATGTCGAAACTAAATGGAACACATATTATATATTTTTGCATAGTATCATATAGTGTCTTAAAGCGCCTCAGCATAACATTGAATGACTAAACATCATATATATTTTATATATTTATTAGACTCATGTACGCTTAATTTTTTATGTGAAAAGTAAAACTGCAAAGAAAAATGCTTCTCAAAATATCAATTTGTTTTTTTCCTTTACATAATTTTATTAATAAAACTTCTCATTTTTTTAGCTTGATAAATTTGGAGGCAAACTCATAAATGCCGACGGAGTTTTTGTTCTTCTGATCGTATTCGACCCAATCGTCTTCGGACAGATCAACATCCTCAAATGTCTGTCCATTTTCCGAGGATTTCACTTTCCAGCCGATGCGTGGTGAAAATTCCACTGGTTCCACGCCGCGACAATCGAACACAATAATTGTCTTGAATTTGCCAGCATCGTCGGCGGTGTATGCAACTGTAAATTGACAGATAACGGTAATATAAACATTTCTTAGTGGATTTGCTGAACTCACCACTGGACTTTTCCACCACATCGATGCTGTTTTCGCGTCCGCACATTTTGCATTTCATGTAGAAATTAAAACCGGCCGCATTTCGTGTGTCGTGCTGCACGCGTTCAGTTTCGCTGATATCGTGCCATTTATCTGATGTTTCGCCACAATTGCTGCAGGTTAACTTGAAGAAATACGAATACTCTCCATCCGTTTCCAGGCTATCAACATTCTCGAACGTGGCGGATATTTGCAGACCTACACGAACCATTTTATTTTGTAGACTATACAAAATTAGCCGGAATATGAACAGCTGTTTGACGATGAGAGTGTTGCCAGATGTTGAGAGACGGTCACATTAATTACAAGAAGGTGGCAGCACTGGTTTTTTGGCAGAGAGCAAAGCGTAAACAACTTTTGTTAAATTCGTCTAAAACGTAGAAAAAAGAGCATAAAACATAATGGATTTAAATATGAAACCATCGTTGGCCGTTGACGAGATGTTTTCGGAGGGCGCCGGTTACATGGACATGGAGGAGGTAAGCAAATGTAAATTGCATTGAGTGATGCAAAATTACAGCAAATGTATGCATTTTACTTCTAGTCTGGCAGCGCCACTGGAATGATGATGGACCATTTGCCTGCACCCACCAATGAGAAACATGTCCACGCTGACTTTTACAACGATTTCGATGACTTATTCGATGATGATGATAACTGGGCCAAAATTAAACGCACTGGCGATAATCCCAGACAGTAATTTGTAAAGAATGTTTACTTCTATTTTATTTGGCTACGCTTAGCATATGTAATATGAGTCTTAAAACTTAGAACTTGGAAAATAACGTTTAATTTTGAATAGCTTCGTTTTGGGTCGATTTCCAGTCACAATTATTAACTGCAAAGTGTCAGCTGCACAAATTCAACTCAGCACGTTCGGCATCTGTCATTGGTTCCACAACCTGCAAGCATGCATTGGCAAATTCAACAAATAACGGTTCTTGCATGGCGGCCATCATTGTCAGATTTGCATTGTGAGCGACGTCAATTTGCTGGAGCAGAGCACGTAAATGGGGATTATAAAGCAGTTGACGCAACGGTTCACAGTTATCTAGAAGCAAATGGAATTAAAAATTGCTGATCAGAGAGAGCGAGAGAGGACATACTCAGCTGCTGCAATCGGGAAAGCGGCACAGTGTCTTCTGTGCTGAATGGTGCATAAATGGTGGGTTCCGTTTCCATTTGCTGCGCCGCTGTCGCTGCTTTTGCTGTTGCTGCTGCGATGTCGCCACATTCTGGCAACTGTTTATGCTTTTTGTAACATTCGACGGAACAGCTGTGAAAAGTACAAGTTGTATTACACATAATTATAATTATGTTATGTTACATACTAGGGTGCCAAGCATTTGCTGCATTTGTATTTATTTGTGTTTACGGAGCAGCTGACACACGCCATTCTATTCTCTTTAAACACAAATCTCGTGGGACAATCAACAACAGCTGTTCAATGTTCTAAGGCACGATATTTTCGTTTCGAACGGCGTGTGAAAAAGACGCTTCGCTATTTTTATGCCGGCGTCGATCATTGCATGGCTTCGTTGTTCATACCGTTTTCAATTTCGAGTTTGCGACGATAAAGTCTAATGAACTTTAGTGCGAATTGCATTAGAGATATGAAAATCAAAAGTAAAATATCACACTTTTTCATAATTTGTGTTAAGTGATTGAAAAGTAAAACGTAGAAGAAAAGATGTTAGTAAATTAAAAACTTTTGCTATGTTATCTTTATGTGTTCTTACTTATGTATATTGGACTATTTATTATGGCTTATATAGGAGAGAGCTTGTTTAAAGTGGACAGCATGTTTTGTAATAATTAAAGGAAGTTTTGAATTTGTTTGAAATATTTCCGATTGCTTTGCACCGTTGCCACCTGGTTGTACGACGCGCTGCCAACTATTCATATTTTGATGGGGTAGCTATGGCGAAGGGTTCGCGTCTTGGATAACTCGCTTTTGGTGTGACATTGCGTTGCCACTTGGTTGTAAGACGGGAAGCCAAACAGTGTGCTGCCAAATTTTTGAGACCCAACTAAGGTTGATGTCCAGGCTAAATCACCTTGTTTGGTTGAAATTGGTGAGTTTTTTGTTTTGTTGGCATATCAACGTTTTTTGTTGCTTGTTTTGGGCTTCTTTGGGCTACTTGCTACTTGCTGCTCTTCTGCTTGCTACTTGCATGTCAGCACTGAAAGTCATTTAATTTTGATTGTCTCTGAAGACCTCGCGCCTCAAATGTCACTGCGAAATAGATAAATTGGCCCACATATGTATACTATATATGTATATATATATATGTTTATATATATATATGTTTATATATATATATGTATATATATTTGTCTATGGCATGCTTGCCTTGGCAACTTTTTTATGGATGTCACGATATGCCCATACGAAAGAAGCAGAGAAACAAAAAAATGAACACGAGACGACGTTAAATATCGCGTGGCATTAAAAAACAAACAATTTGGCTTATCAGCTGCTGTCTATAAGAATATATAGACAAAAAAAAAATAAATAGGCTAAAAAAAAATAGTTTATATTTTTGGAAGAATCAGAACTAAAATTGTCCTACTGTTTAAGTGGTATTATTCTTATTGCCATTTTAGATACTTTGAGCCTACTTCTTTGTCTATAGTTCTTCTATAAAACTCTAATTCTTTGACTTGCTTAGAGTTTTTTTTTGTTTATCGAGCTTAAAACATGTTCATTGCAATCGCAATCTGGGTTCTTGAAAGTGCAATCTCTCTTACAGTGCAGATTAAGCACGTTAAAACCACTTTATAAAAAATGCATAGTTAATTCAAAGCTTTTTTATATGCAATTCGCATTTAATTAACAGGAAAAAAGAAGCGAAACACAATAAAAAACGCAAAGAAAAAGCGTACAACAATATATATTATAAATATATATATATTTACAAAAAAAATATATTTATATATGTATAAATTCGACAAAAACAGGAACAACAACAGCAATAAAATGGACACATCCTGCACACGAAACGGTCAGCACTTGCCTTTGACCAGGCGTGCTATCAACACACACACACACACACACACACAACACACACAACACACACCTAAATAATAAAAAACGTAGCACAGTTATTCGAGCAAAAACAGCGTACAACATTGGTGGCAATAAATGACTTCAATGACTGACTGACTGCCTAGCTGCAACTAACAGTCCCTCCAGGGGTGTGTGGGGGGATGGGTGTGTTAAGTTTGGGTCATATTTTGGGACAACAGCAACAACAACCAGAACGACTTGCTTTTTTTTTAGTTATGCGCTTTGTGGAAAGGGTATTTTACTTGAGCGATGGCAGTTGTAACACTTGGATGATATTTTGGATGTTGAGTATATCTTGATCAGCCTTACTAGCCAAATGGATATGGCCATGTCTACGTGTCCGCTTGTCTGCCTCTGGCCTCTTACTTTTGAAGCTATCCTCGTAAAACTTACAACATATTTGTCTCTTTTCTGTAGTCACTAAAAGTATATATATAATTATTATTGCACTGCTGTCTCTTGGAACTGTTATGCCTCGCTTTTGAGCCTACTTCTTCTTCTATAAAACCTAAATTTTTGTCTTGTTTCTATGTCTTTTCGAGTTTCTGCTATGATGTGTCCTAAGAATTCCTCCTCATTACTACAATCGACTTTAGCTTATGGGAAATCGATCCCAGCAATATTACTTTTCTGGGATTTCCATGTGATTCTGTGAACACTCCTTGATGAAATGGGGTTAACTCCCAATAAGCAAAGTTAGGATTAAGTCCGATGTATATTTTGAATTGTTGTGCTGCTAAAACTGAAAGCGAAATTGAAACTTAGACCCATCAGCATATATTAAATAATAATAATAATAATAAAATGATGCTGTTATATAAATGATCTTTTAGGGTAGTTCTTATTTCGACAATCGAAAACAAAACTCTGACTTCCTGTTTTCCCTTTTGTTGTTGTTGTTAACAATTGCAATGCACAAAAAGATGCCAGCAAACAAAACAATGAGGAACGTTTTTTTGGCTAGGGGGGGTTGAGGGGAGCGTGAGCAGAGGGAAGAGTTGAACATGATGGCGCCTCTGCCGCTTCCGCTGTTCGTGCCACATAAGCGCGATAATTGCCAGCGTTATCCGCTCGGCCTGCCAGTCAAATAGGCGCTGCGAGCTTTGTTGCCTCAGCTTTTGCCACGCTGCAACTGAAACGAGGCCTGCAGCCAGAAAAGCAGTCCAGAAAACCTGAACCTGAGCCTTTCGTGTGACTCGCCTACATTTGATTTACAACATTCGTGCAACAGCAGCAGCAGCAGCAACAACAACAGCAACAACAACAGCAACAGCAAGTGGCAGCAACAATTTTGGTGTATCGCAAAAGAAAAAAGAAGTAGAAAAAAACAACGAAAATGGAGCAAAAAATTAAACAACAAATGCAAACAAGAAACAGAAGAAGAAGAAGCGGCAGCAGCAGCACAAAAATGCGGCACACGCTACGTGTTGCAAGGGTGCAGAGAGAGAGGGGATGGGGGTGGGGGTGGTTCCTCCTGCAGGTGTCGTTCGTTAGTAGTTTTCAGCCAAAAAGCCAAAAAGCGATATAAATAGATAACGGCACTTTTCGCGCAATTCCTTTTGTGCTCCTTTTTTTCTCTTTTTGTTGATTGTTCTTCTCCGCCCACTCCTCCCACTCCTGCTCCTCCTCTTTGCCAATTGCAGTAGATTGACAGATCATGCAAACATAATGGCAGCATTTATTTATATATATGTATATTGTGCATATTATAAATATTAAATTACATCCAACAAACTGGCATTTAATACGCTAAAAAAAAGAAGAAAACAAAAGAAGAAAATTGCTAAACATCGAATTATTCTATGTCAGAGCGCCATCTAGCGGTGTTTGTGTGCATGTGCAAATCTGTCAACTGTAAATATGATGTGCGCCATTTTTTTTTCAGGCATTGATTAAATAACGGTGTATGGAGATGGGATATAGAAAAAAATATATATAATAAAATTATATCTATTATTTATTAATAGAAGAAGAAGTAACAGAAAATGTGAAAATTGTGGAAATGCATCATTCATATATATTCCTGAATAGCCTGAACAGTCGAGTCAATTGAGCCATATTCATCTATCTGTCTGTGTAAATAATCCAATCTCCGAGCCAAAAAGAGCTGAGGATTTGAAATTTACAGTTGTAAGTTCTCGAATACTTAACGCATATAAATTTGACAGAATTTTATCGATAACTGCCACCATTTGGGGAATATCGTACAGATTGATTGAAAGAGAGAGAGGATAGAAAAATGCGCAGAGCAAGACAGAGTAAGAGAACGAAACTCAAGAGTCCAGAGTCCAGTGAGTGTTAATTGCAAATGAGGCAACAAAATATTGTTGCATATTTATTTGTCTCCTTATGGATATATTTATTTATTATATTTACTGCCGACAGAGGACAAACGACAAATGCTGTGACCGCAAAATGTTTGCAGTCAAGAAGTCAATGTCCATTTTATGGGGCTGCCAGTTTATTATTACGTACTTAAATCTGGAACGATGGCTCAATGGCTCAATGGCTGCTACCCATTTATATACATATATATATATATGTATTTCTATGGCCCATCTATGCGTAATACTTTTACGTTTCTTTTTCTGCTCTTCCCCCATTTTTTTTTATGTTTTTTTGTTTTCTTTTAAGTTTTTATATACATTTATGTGCTTTTTTTTTGTTTTTTTGGCGCAACGTCGCCGCATTGAAGTAATCACATAAATCACACGCTTCGACTACGACTCCAAGTCCGGCTGCAGGAGCAAGGACTCCATTATGACGCGACTCGCAGATAAAACTCTCGCAAAACCGATGCATAGATAAAAATACAAAAATACCAACAGAAACAAAAAAAAAATAAACGAGTAAAGAAAATGGCAGCTTTATTAAGCATAATATGGCCATAAAGCTCGAGTCGAGTCGAGTCGAGTCATAAGTGCCCCGAAAGGATTACAACAGGCATCAAAAAGGTGGTTGCCTCATTCTCACTCCCTCGTTCAGCGTCCAGCGTCCTTCGTCCTTCGTCCTTGTGCCCCGCCATATGATTGATGAGCCATTGCGGCTAATTCTTGGCGCTCGCCTTTGTTTGCTCCCTCCTTCTCTCTCTCTCTCTCTCCTTCTCGCACTCTCTCTCTCTCTATCTCTCTCTCGGCTTAAACTGTAAATCATGTTGCTCTGCTGCGTGCCAACTCATAAATACAAGTACTGCCGCTATTTTGCAACAGCCTCTCCCCCTTTTTACCCCTGCCTCCCGCTGCAAATCCTTCTATGAGCGCACTGTTGATCAAAAACTGCTCCACTCAAAGAGTGTTGCAAAACGGCGTGCAGCTTTTTAATTAAGGCGCCGCATTGCAATCGCAAATAACAATAAAAGTAGTAAAGCTAGCAATACTCAGGACGTGCACAAGTTTTGAATGCTCTACGATTTGTGGGTCTTTGAAGAATAATTATAGACTATATATATTATATATTGCCTCTGTAACATTCTTGCCTCCAATATTAATCAGAAAATCCCTTGTACTTTATCTAAATACTAAAAACTACTTTCTTACTA